CATTTGGTAGCCCCACAAAAACGATTGCAATGAAATCTTGATTTATTCTGCCCTCACTTAACGGATCACATACAGATTACCAAATATCCATCTACATGTGCCACTGAAATAACAGAAAAGTCCATTGCATCTGAAAGAGGCAAATAAAGTAGGTTAAAAGTTTATTTTATCTTAATGTTACAAACTCTATAGTGATTTACACCTTTGTGTCAATTTGCATAATTTGTACACTAATGAATTGTTATGTATATGATGTAAATTGACATAATTTGCACGGTCTGAGAGATTAAGGAAGGAAAGGATTGATACATCCTGAGCCTACCAGAGTAATCCACATGCATGTTCAATGTCATCACAGTCTTGGTCTGAATGGTTAATGGGTCCAGATAATATATTTCAGTGTCTATTGTTCTCAGCCAGCAGGGAATTAGATGTTATGTTTGTGCATGATGGACACTGAAATGCAATACATTTGCATGAGCACCAGGTAGGAGAAGACTGCTAGAACATGTTGGATATACTGTATAAGTACAACCTTATACCTGAGTTATGGCCAGTGCTTTTTTTGTAAACAAACAACAAAAAAAGGTGCTGGAACTCACACACGTCATACAACCCACCTTGCCTACCCTACAGTTCCATCCAAAAAAGGTGCCGGAACTCCATTCTGGGAGTTCTATGACAAAAAAAGCCCTGGTTATGACAGTGAAATAGACACATTTAAAAAAAAAGGCAAAAATCCATTTTTTGTTACTGTTTAAACATTTGTAAGCAAAAAAACCCTTCCTAATCTCCTGGAAGAAATCGAGCAATCTAGATCTAGCCAGTAGATTGGGGTTGATAACCTGAGACCTTAAAGAGACATGGGGCTCTCTAAAATCCTTGAGTTCAACGCCAGAGCTCATGCACAAATTGCTACTAATGCATAACATATGGGAAGTAATAAAATTGTATTATACCAACCATTTTTTTTTCTTCTGGTTCCTTCCATCTTTTGGAGTTTGCCCCAACATGTCACTCCAAGGACAGGTGTGGCTCTCAGTCTCCTTTAGGTTATGCATTTCTGTAGTAGATTGTCCAGATAAACCTGCTGATTACTTTTATGCAGGCTCCGGGCAGGGAGCTACCGGCAGCCTCTCCTTTTCCCATACATATTGTTTCAAACTGTTTATTGCACTTAGGAGATTGTGAGAAAAAGATAAAAAGGGAAAAAAAACTTACTATGCTTCAGTGACTCAGTTCAGTTGTGTCTCTCAGATTATTTTATTTTTTTAGCAAATTACATAAGTTGCTTTTAGCCTAGTGTTACTTTAGGGCTAAAAACAAATTATGTCCTTTTTTTTTTTAATATGCTACAAAAACTACTTTTTCTGGGAGCTGCAATAGTCTGATTCTGTGTTGCTATAATTATTTGTCACAAAGATATATTACTTTGCTTGGAGCATTAGATTCTCTTTCTTTCTAAGAAGTTATTTCAAATGCTTAGCATAGCTAGTCAGTGGGTGAACATTTACTGCAAATTATAGCACTGCATCAGCAATCTAATGGAAATGGCAAGATTACAAAGCTCATATTATATGAAATGAAATCAAGGCTTCCCTGTATGTCTTGCCTATTTAAGATAATGAATACTTCCATAGCAACAAAATTCAGATGATAAGCAATTACCTTCTTCCAAGTCCTTGAAAAAGAAGACATTTGACACAAAACAAGTGGTGGAAATCAGAAGGAGAGAAGAGATTTGGATAATTAAGACTTTTTGCAACCCACTTTTTTCTCTCCAGAAAATAGCAATAGCACTTAAGATTTATATACAACTTCACAATGCTTTACAGCATTTTACAGAGTCATTGCCCCCAACAATCTGGGTCCTCATTTTATCGACCTCGGAAGGATGGAAGGCTGAGTCAATCTTGAGCAGGTGAGACTCAAACTGGCTGAACTGCTGGCAGGCAGCAGGCAGCAGAAGTAGCCTGCAATAATGCATTTTAACCACTGCGCCATATTTTACTGATTCAGTTGTGACAGAAAAAAAGATGGAGGACTTCAAGACAGAGTTGTTGGGAACAGGGGCATCTACAAAATAGTGGTGCTAAAAGAATTAAAGAAGGCAATTAGGAATGAGTGATTGAAACTTGTCTTGAGGGGTTTTAACATATCCAAAAAAATGATGCTTCGGTCACAAAATTGCAGTCTCCATCATTACTTTTTTGTCCCTCCCTGTGGACAGCTTTTGGGTGATTCCTTAAGGTGTTCATGGTCTCTAGGTCGCTTCCGTGTCTCCTTTAGAATCTCAAACAGAGAACAAAGATTTATGTGACCTTAAAATAAGTCAGTCTTATAAGCACCATCCTTATTGTTGTTGTTTAGAAAGAGCCAAGAAATAAGTTTCTTGACAGGAACTTTAATAAGATTAAGGTTGAATGGATTATCAATTTGCCTGCTAATATCACTAGTCACAGCAGATATAACTTCTTGTACAGAATTGTCTGATAATTCTGTGTTAAATTTTTAGTTTAGAACAGTATATCGTATTTCTATACTAGCTGTAATATGGAATCTTTCTTTTATATTTAATAGAAATGCATTAAATATATTTTATTCATCCTTCTTAACTACAATACTTAAACAATTCTAATGCTCCATGAATAATGTGTTTTGTCATTGAAAGGTTAAAATATTCTCAGACAATGATTTTTATACATCATTCTGTCTTACAAATGGAAAGCTGATTTACAAATGGATTCTATTTTTTCTATTCCCAGGATTCTTTTGAAACCATGAAACTTGGGTTTTGCACTTTCATGCTCTTAAACATATTTGTTTGGCAGAATAGTTTTACAAATCACACAGGCAGTTTTCACGGCACTTCAGTTAATTATGTCTTCAGCTATTGTAGTAGGGAGCCATGTTAGTTTACAGTATCCAAAAATCAGAAGGAGTCTGGTGGCCAATTTTCCAATTACTATATTTTAGTAAAAGTTATAAGCTTTTGTGATCTGAAGGTCACTTTTTCAGATGCAAGGAGGAGTTTGACCAATGTAGAATTTGGATTTTAATGAGGGGAGGAGTAGGAGTAGGAGTAGGAGTAGGAGACAGGATGACTACACAGATGAAGATTACATGGGGAAATCCCTCTTACAGTTGTATTTATTTATTTAAAAGATTTGTATGGCTGCCCATATGAAGAGTACAATTCTGAGCAGCTCCTGGAAAAAATAAGAAATGATACAAACTATAAAAGCAAAAACTAAAACTAAACACCAGTGCGAGCATCTTCCTAAGGTGCCCCAACAACCCTTCATAGGCCCAATCACTCTGTCCCAGGGCCTGGATGAAGAGCGCAACTTGATGGCCTTCCAGAAGACTAAAATAGTGTGGATTCTTCCTGTTATCTTCTTCAGGGTTTGAATCTGAAGCTTCTCAGATGAGGTAGATATTTACAATCGCTTCAATATTCTTTCATTTTATTAGCTGGCCTAATTTATTTATGTAAGACATTTAAATAGCTGTCCATTGTATAACAAACCCTGGTTGGCTCCCAATCAAAAATTGATACATTAAAACCATATTAAAACCACAAATCCAAACAGATAGGAATAAAAGAATGTTGCCAAGTCAAGCTTCCGAAATGTAGTCATCTCATCTCATTTTATTTACTTGTATTCCACCTTTATTATTTTTACAAATAACTCAAGATGGTGAACATGTCCAAAACACCTTCCTCCTATTTTCCCTACAACAACAACCTTGTGAGGTAGGTTGGGCTGAGAGTGAGGGACCAGCCCAGTCACCCAGCTGACTTTCATGGCTACAGCAGGACTTGAACTCACTTTCTAGCTTTATCTCACACCTTAGAGAAAAACTAGGTTTTTGGTGCTTTTCAGAAAGCTAGGATGGTGGAGGCCTGCAGAACGTCAGGGGGCAGAGTGTTCCTTAGGGCAGAGGCTGACTTCTTGGCTCCCACAAGGTGCAATCTTTAAAGGAAGGGATTAGGAGTGATCATTCTATCTTGGAGTTCCCCAAACTTTCCAGTTTTGCAGACTGAGTGGTTCTGCACAAGAAGTCAGCAAGCAAGCATGTGCAGCTCCATTTTCGGGAGTGGTGGGGATGTATACGCACTCACCCACTGGTCATGCAAGTGGGGATGAGCGCTCATGCACGTTCACCCATTGCTTCTGCAGACCGGTTCTGAACGGCTCATGGCCCAGGAGTGGGCAGCGGGGGTTGGGGACCCATGCTCTATCTAGCCTGGTAAGCTGGGTAGATGTTTATTATTTATTTTGCATTCAATTTTACTTACATTTTTTTATATCCCAAGCAACTCTCCCCTGTGCTATATCTGTATCTCTTCCTCATCTGTATTTTCTTTACAATAACTATGGGAAGTTAGGTGACATTCTGACCAAAGGCCATTTCATTGCTGAGAGATCTTTGAATGTGGGTTGAGTTATACTGGCAATATTTTATGCATAATAATTCAGTTATAGTGGATAGTTTTGGCAATTAAAGAAACACCTTCCAACTACATTTACAGACTTCATGCCAGGATAGTCTTCTGCCATCTCAAGGCTGGATGGAAAGGCCTCCACTCATCAGCGGGGCAAAGGCCTCTAACAGGAAATAAAGTATAGAACGGAGTCAAGCAAACTAAACCCTATCAGGTCGGGTGATGAGTTGAGCGCTGTGCTCGTAGTTTGCTGGGATGAAGAAATAAGCAATTTTTGAAATTAAAATGCAGATGTGAATTTTTCCTTCTTTCTTTTACACCTGATCGCCTCGCCACGCGCAACAATCCAGAAAAGTTTAAGGCGACATTCTCGACTTGCAACTCTTCTGGATAAAGCATCGCGGCTCCCCGAAGGCTGCCCAGGGCACCCACCCAACGAGGCGCGCCGGGCAAAGGGGAGGTGAAGGTTCTGCCGGGCGGCCGCGCCTGGCGGAAGGGGAAGGCTCGTACCCATGAAGTGGCACGGGATTGGCTGCCGGGGAGGGAGGCATCTTTCGCCTTTACTCTCCCCCGCCGCGCCTCCCCGCTCTGTAAATAGCGTCTCTTGGCAGGGTCTGGCGCCTGCTCGCCGGGGTGCAAGTCGAGCCATCTTCAGGAACTGCGGCAGATCTGGCGTTACTCTCTACCATTAAGGTAAGCGGTTCGGTGTAGGCTGGACGGGAGAAAGTAGCGCCTTGTCGCTCCGGAGGATGGGTTGGGCGAATCGGGCCTAGAAGTCTCCCAAAGTCCCGGCGCGCATATGCTGCTGCTTTTGCAGAACCTGCTCGTCCTCCGTGCGGAGCCCCCTTGCAGTAGGCCTCGCGGGGAGCGCATGGGCAGTGGGAGCGGCGCGCCAGGTTAGCAAAGGGAGGTAGGAGCGAGTCCTCCTCCTCTTCCTCCGATTTCTACACTCAACCTGCATCTCCTATGAACTTGTTGTTGTTGTTCCTGGCATTTAGTGGGAGCTTCGTACCCCCCTCCCCTTCTCTCTTTCCCATTCCTCCCGAACCTGTGGCTTTGGTTATAGAGTTCGTTTGCCTTTTCCAAATTGTTTGGGGCACATTCCCAATCGGCATTCGGGAATTACGATTTCAATACATGTAAGGTCCCTCACGTTGGGGATTATTATTCATGCAAAGCCTGGGAGAAGCATTCTGGAGATGCATCAGAGGAGCAAAATAAAAATGTTCGTTTTTTCTCGGCGTGAAAATTCCTCAGGCGCACAGAGCTAAAAACGGGCAGGAAAGAGAGTGAGAGAAAGCGGTTGGCTCAAAAGTTTATTTAGCCACCAGATCATAAAGCGAAATAGAAAGTTTAAGAAGTTCTGGGCTCCCAGGTCAGTCCTGTTAAAGAAATTCTTGGAGTACTGAATGTTCAATGGTCTTGGGGCAGTTGAAGATTTTGCTTTAGACAATTGCTTTAGAGATTAGCCACTTCTAAAGGCAATTTATATCTATGGACTCCAGAAGATGGTAGAGGACAGGAAGACCCGGAGGAACATTGTCCATGGGGTCGCGATGGGTCGGACACGACTTCACAATTAACAACAATAACAACAAAGTATAGCAGTACCTTTGGAGAGGCAGTTTGGTGTAGCGAATACAAGCACTAGGGTAGAAACCAAGAGAGTGATTTCTGGTCCTGTTTAGGCACCCAGTTAGTTGGGTGACTTTGGGCCACTCCTTCTCCCTGAACTCTGCCAGAAAGAAAGCAATGGCAAACTGCCAAAGAATGCTGCCAAAGAAATTGCATAGAACAGTGATTCTCAACCTTTCTAATGCTGCGACCCCATAATACAGTTCCCCATGTTGTGGTGACCCCCAACCACTTATACATCACCAGGGGCATGGCCAAAGAAAAGGGGGAAAAAATGGCGGACAGCCTTGTTTGGCGACCCCCAAATGGGGTCCCGACCCACAGGCTGAGAACCACTGGCATAGAAAATTGCATAGAAAGAAAGTTTAGAAGAGGAAAGCGTTGAGGTTATCACTCCATCCTATTCCCATCCAACATTTTACTACGTGAATTGGCTTTTAGATTAGTTCTATTTTCTTGTTCTTATATTAACAGTTTGGCTATGTTATTAAATATTACTTTTGCAACTTTTCTGGGATTGTTTCTGTATCAGATAATGATTTTCTGTTTCCATACTGTAAAGTTCAGGCCAATAGCACACTTCAGAAATGTAGACAATTCAGAAATGTAGAGGAGAGGGTGATTTCCATTTCCATTTCTTAGCAACTGTTAATATGCTCCCTTTGATCTCAGAGAAAATAAATAGGTATGTTGGATGCCTAGTTGTAATTGTAGTATTTATTGGATTTGATTTTATTGTGTTGGTTATAAAAATTCAGAGTATTTCTAGCATTTGTTCACTTTCATGAGTGGCAGCAAAGAAAAATAAGTAAATAACTTATTAAGATGAATTCTCATGGGGAGATGATCCTGTACAGTTTTTTCTAGAGCCTTTTAAAGGCTAACTTAATTGGTGATCATCAACACATCTTTTTACATCAACAAACTCATTCATAAGTGTATTTATATATTTTGCAGAATTTTAAAGAGCTTGCCAGACTAATTCCATCCTGAATTTCCCATATTAAATTTTATTGGATATTCTGAGTTCTAACACTGGGGGAAAGTTTTTCATACCAGGATGATATATTAAATTATTGTCATGTTTCTTCTTCTTTGGTTTTGCTGCAAGCTAAAAAGTCCCCCAAACTGTAGGCTTTCTTTGTAGAGGCCCACGGTTTCCCCACATCACATTTTGACAACCAATACTCTAGAGCAGGGGTGTCAAACTTGCCGCATCACATGGCATGTCGTGAGATATCACGATTTTTCCCCCCTTGCTGGAGCTGGGGTGGGTGCGGCTTCTGTGTGAAACATTTGCCCATGGGCCAGCAGTTTGACACCCCTGCTCTAGAACAGAGGTCCCCAAACTTTTGGGTGCCAGGGACCGGTTCCGTGGAGAGAGGTTTTTCTGCTGATTGAAGGGTGCATGGTTTTGTGTGCTGCCTGCATCTTGCAGATAGGGCTTTGCTTGTTTGTGTGGACCAGTTGCTGGGACCCCTGCTCTAGAATATCCTTTTTTCAGGTGTGATCACAATGATAAGCAGTGCTCCAAATTTGAAGTTATTATAAAGTCACATAAGGAAATTCTGTTGCTGTCGTTTTTTATTCTTGGTTCCTGTAACGATGCTAAGAAAAAGACTCAGGCATGTCTTGAGCAGAGGTTTGAAGCTGCATGACACATCTTCACACAGCTTGACAAACTCTGAGTTTATTGTTTCTTATATACGTTTTACATACATAGGCTTTACCATTAACTGCTGACATTTTACATATAGAAGTTTAACCTTTAGTTGTTGACATAAAGTAATTGAAAAATTCCTTCATATAAGCAATTATTTTCTAGTAACACATTACCTATTGAGAGCAGGTAAAAACAAATACAGGTAAATTAGAAAAGGAGAAAGAACTGATAAAGACAAGAAGAGATAAAGACAGGAAGAGATAAGGGGGAACTTATTATTTATTTAGGTAGGTAAGATATTAAGTCAAAAGGGGGTGATCTTTTGGCTGCTTCCTTGGGACAAAGGGTATCAAAAGGTTATGAGGTTTGTGGGGGGCAATGCATGGCAGTTTGCTGCACGTGCAAATTTCTCCACAGGTTCCCAAATGATTCCATTTCAGCACTGGGTTGATACTTTTTATTTTATTTATTTATTTGTTAAATTTATCTGCCATGGGGCTACTTTAGACAGTTATTTTTCTTAAACTACCCATTTGTGACTCAAAAATAGATCTTCTGATCTGCTTAAATCCTATTGATGTGTATCTGAAGTTTAGATTTTTTAAAAATGTGAATGACATCCTTGTTTCCATTTAATTTGTTTGCTATTTCATAATTGGGTTTGGTCCTATTAGAGCTTATTATAATCTCTTTTTGCTTTTAATATAATTAACAACTTAAAAACATTAGTAAATTTGACCAACTCACACTGCTCTCCTTATAGAATCCCAGCTTGTATATTTTTCAAGCATGAAAACTGTCCATTTTTTCACTTTCCTATATTTAAGTCAGTTAACAATTCAAAAGAATATGTGCCTTCTTATCCCATGTTACTCATTTTGGTAATTATAATATATAACTGTATATTGATTCTAGAAGTGGCAACTAAACTGTGAAACAATATTGCTGTTGGCAGAATAGTATGAATATCATTGCTACAGTGTTTAAAATTGGCTGTACACAATTACAAATTTATTTGTGGAACATTTTTTAAGGCTAAGGATTTTTATTACTTATATGTTTTAATGCTAGTACTTGTATACATTCCAAAATTGCAGTAACCATGTAAATCACTGAATTACAAGGGCACTCTAACTTTGGAGGTATAGGGGTGGTTGAAATTGTGGGTACAGTGGTTGAAAACTCCCAACAGCAAGAAGCAAAATTTCTTTCTCTTTGGTTCCATTGGAGGTTACTTCTAATCTTGAACAGAGATCTGTTGTTCTATAGATTATGCCTTATCTTTTCCCCTGGAGTAGCAGAGAACAGGCCTTTGCTACCTTCTGATCCACAGAGTTTCTTTCATGTGTTTCAAAAATGTATCCCTGTGTTTGGGTAAGCCTATCTTACAGCAAGACTATAAAATGTTTGTAAGTTAGTCCAAATACGTCTAAAACCATTATCTCAACTCCACATTGGCATAAATCAGTGTCCAGTTTGAGAGTTTCTCTGGTAAAGAGAGAGAAGGCGATGTCCAAATTTGATAAATAAATAAATTCTTGAAACCTAACTTTCTTTTAGGCTTGTTGTTACTAGTAGTACTACTGCTAGGAAATTAACTGAAACTTGATTTTATCATACTAGTTCAGAAATATCTTATCTGTCCTGTGTTTTCCTAAGCATAACTGAAGTAGTTCTGATTATTGCTTTAAAGCCCAAAGTGGCCTCAGATATCCAGAGTAGACCTGAATATGAGAAATGCCACTTTTCCTCTTGTGAACCTTATTATGAACACATATTGATCTTCTCCAGGCATCTGTCAGATGTGGAGAATGCTTTCTATGATGGAATTTGGAACATTTTCCCTGAGGAGTTTCACTGGGTTCCAATTTGTTTATCTTTCCAGTAAACTAACTCTTTGAACTTTGTTTTACCCAATCCTTTAAAAAATTGTTAGATGAGGTCAGATCCTTTCTGCTATCCTCCTTATAAATATATGTTGAAACATTATTTCATTGAGTAAAATATTAATATAAATATTTAAGAGAAATTTAAAATTGCATTGTTTGGTGTTTGTACCCATTTGCACCAATTTGTTATGGTTGTCAAGCCATCAGACTAGACATTTGGGGAGACTATGAGTTCCGGTCCCAGCTTTGACACAAAAACCAGCTGCATGACCTTGGGCCAGTCATTCTTTCTCAGCCTTATGAAGTAGGCAATGGCAAACTATGTTGGAAAAATCCTGCCAAGAAAACTGCAAAGACTACTCCAAGAAGTCATCAGATTTTTTTTTAAAAAAGAATTTATTTGAAAGCACACACACATGCCCCCCCCCAAAAAAAATTGGATTGTGGTCCTTCTGGAAGAGAATTAAAATCTGGCTGTACAGGCTAGCTTGGAGCCCCGATAGGAGCACTCAAGGCTGGGAGTGGCTGAAGGGTTAGAGAGAAGACCCCCACCTCTGTGTCACCTATCCTGTAGCTTTTTTTAAAACTATTTCATTTTTCTTAATTTTAATTATTTTGTATTATCTTTTTATTATGCTGTAACATGCCCAGAGTCACTGTTACAGTGAAGAGATGGCATATAAATTTCATAAATGATAAAATAGATAGATAGATAGATAGATAGATAGATAGATAGATAGATAGATAGATAGACAGACAGACAGACAGACAGACAGACAGCTAGAATTGGAATTGTGGGTTGTAATAATTTTGATCAATGTGGTTGGTAGGAACTTTTATTCAGAACCATGAACAATGTGAATTCTAGGGGAAGGCTAGGAGTGATTGGTTTGGATCTGTTTTTGAGTTCTTCTTGGAGCACCTTTGCTTTTTGGAATTACACATGTATATTTATGTCACTTCTCCTTGTTTTGATATGTTACCTGCAAAGTTCTGTTATGATCTTGTTTAGTAAAGAGGAGCCATTTGAACAATAGAGAAAGGCTGAAAGAGCTTGACTATTAGTATGGTAATACTAATAGCAGTAATGGTAATAATAATGGCAATGTGCAATTATGGCTTATTAGCTGCCTAAATTTTACAGCAGATTTCTAAGGAATCAATTTTTCTTTCTCTCTTGTTCCATTAAAATGCTGCTTCAAAATATTTTTATGCTGTATTTGTTTGTTACTGCATCTTTGCTGTGGCAAGGTTTTTAATCATGCTGCAAGCATTCAAGCACACGGGAGAAGGGTTTGAGAGACATCTTTCAAGATGGCAGCATTTTCATAAGTCTGTCCTGGCCATCCGGAGGGAGGATGTTAATGCCTGGGAAAGAAGAGCCCCTCTAGCACCACGCCATGTCAAGATGTTGACCAACTTGGGGTACAAAGTTCTGGTGCAACCATCCAATCGCAGGGCCATCCATGAACAGGTATGCTTGGGTTGTGGTGGTGTTTGTGGGTACTATTTTAATAGAAGGAATACTTGTCATGCACGGGCAAATTAATGAGCAGAAGCTGTCTATACCAGCTGTCTATACCAGGGGTAGGCAACCTTGGCTCTTTTATGACTTGTGGACTTCAACTCCCAGAATTCTGGGAGTTGAAGTCCATGAGTCATAAAAGAGCCAAGGTTGCTTACCCCGGTCTATACTATGTGTAGAGATTTTGTGGGAAGCTAATGAAATCCTGGCATGGATGGGCTGAAATGCCCTTATTCAGGAGTAAAGCAGCTGGAGGCTTTCAGGAAAAGAAAGACCGAAGAAGCAGCGACTTTGGAAAAAGATACCTGAGATCTCAAGCAGGACTTAGATCAAAAGCGAAACTCAGAAGAAGGAATGTACTGAAAAAATGATAAGAATTAGAGATAAGCAAGAGCAGCAGAGGATGAATTTCACATCAATCTTTTGTTCAGAAACTTCTAGTCTCTTTTAATGTGAAAGTAATCATATTGCAGTTCTGCTCTGGGCTGACCTAACTGAAAATCAAAAGTTTTTTTTTTCTACAGGACTGTAGAACAGCTCCATGGGGAGGCTTCTACTGTAGCTTTGTGATCCTGGAAAGAGATGCGACTACTTTAATAAGTGGCAGATTCTGTACAGGTGGTCCTTGACTTACAGCCATTCATTTAGTGGCTGTTCAACCTGGCACTCAAAAAAAATGACACCTGTGCCCACACTTAATGACTACACAATTCACTTAACCACCATGAGTTGCTTAACAACTGTGGCGGAAAAGTCATAACATTGGGTACAACTCACTTGACAAGTGAAATTCTGGTTCCAATTGTGGTTGTAATTCAAGGACTGCCTCTATTCAGACTTGCCTGTGTTCTAAAACACCTCTTCAAAATCAGATCGGATGAGCTGCACATTTCTCTTGACCAGTATAGATATAAAAATTATACTCATTCAGAATAGCATCTAGAAAATGTATCTGTTTCCTGCTTTGGTTCATTTTGGCTGTGTCAGTAACCTTTTAATGACCCATTGGCAGGATTATATTAAAGCAGGAGGCATTATACAAGAAGATATTTCCCAGGCTTGCCTTATTGTGGGTGTGAAGAGGCCTCCAGAAGATAAGCTAATTCCCAACAAGAACTATGCATTCTTCTCTCATACTATCAAAGCTCAAGAGGCAAATATGTCCTTGCTGGATGAGATCCTAAGCAAGGTAATATTGCACTTACTGAGAACTATTGTTATGATAATACCATTATGAAATGCAAAAGAAGCAGTGTGTGAATCCTTGTCAAGCATGCAATTAGCTTGCCATGCTATGACAATTATCTATAATGTGTGTTAGGAGTTTTAAAGGCAAAAGGGAGGAGAAAAATACACACACTTGCAATCTACTCTTGTGCGTTTTTAGACTATATTAATCTAAGCAGACAATGTGGCTTACATTTCAGACATGCAACAAACACTTGATTTAATTTCTTATTATAATTAAAAGATGTGTATCTTTAATTGGATTTCCTTTCTGTTCCCATCCATATCTTTCATGAACTTTCCTTCATTCACACAGTAAATTGTTAACTATTAAGTTAGGCAAAGGATTGGAGAGAAATTGTGTTTCAGATTATTTAAAGAAATTCAAGTGGAGAATGATAAGTCAAATGCAAATTAAAAAATCAAGATTGTACTGAAATAAAATAGTCACTAATAATAAGAAATACCCTCTGGGGACAGAGCTGATTTTTAATTCATATTATTGATTTTTTAAAAGCATACATAATATTTTGAACTGTATTCAGATTGTGGGGAAAATAAAGGCACATTTCTCTTAAGCTATTATTTCTGAAATGAAAGATATTAAGGCTGGCTTAATCTTTGATACTTCCTTCAATCCCATTTATTCCAGTGATATATGCATAGGATTTATGAGGCAGCCAAACCAGATATAAAAACCAAAACCATATTCACTTCTGTTAAATGAACCTATCTGGGTTACGGAGACTAATATGAGAAGCAACTTGCAGTAAGGCTTCTATGACACATGCTCTCTCTGCTTTATGTTTTTAGAATATTCGATTGATAGATTATGAGAAAATGGTGGATCACAGAGGAGTCCGAGTTGTAGCATTCGGAAAGTGGGCTGGAGTTGCAGGTATCTGGATTGAATATTAATATTGTGCACTTATTTTTCAAGAAGATATTTGGGGTAACTATGAAGTGATACTGTGCATACTGATATTTCTGTTTTTGCTCAGTTTTAGTTCATTCATTTAGAATGTCTTAAATTTGTGAAACATATAGCACTCTTAGACCATAAAATGTGTGATAACGTAGATGTCAAAGCAAGAACATCTGACGTTAGCATTGGATGTTCTTGCTTTGACATCTACCTTATCACAAGTCAGGTTATTTGTATATTCAGTTTCATTTGGGAGGTTGTAGTCTGCCTGGTAGCTACTCACCCTGTCTCTTCCCATTAAAACAAAAACTAGAACGCAATGCCTCACTCAGGAGCAGATGGTCCATAGTATCTAATCAATAGGATAAGTAATAGATGATCTTATCCAGTATTTATTTGAATAGGAGATTACATTTATGTGTAGGATCTGGTCTGGCTCATTTTAGATAAGAATAGATAGCAACTTTCTCCAGCAGGAACCTTTTAAACACTATAGGCTAGAGTTCCCCTCATTCCTAGTAATTTTTTTTCATAAAGGTTTGAAGGGACTTCTAAACTTCATAACTGACCCATTTTGGAAAGGATGATGATATAATTTTGATATATAAGCTATTTCAATTCCATTATGTTTCAACTGATTTTTGTTTTGTTTTGGCAACATGACTGCATCATATGATTAATAACTGTATATATTGCAATTCTAATCCAGGTATGATTAATATTTTACATGGAATGGGATTACGTTTCCTTGCTTTGGGACATCATACTCCATTCATGGTAAGACTATGTACCAAACTGCCAGCCAAATGTTGGATTACAAGCATTTTTAACCTTTCTGAAAGTGTTACTGTCTTTGGTTTCAGCATATTGGTATGGCCCACAATTATAGAAATAGCAGCCAGGCTGTTCAAGCAGTTCGGGATGCTGGCTATGAAATTTCCTTAGGCTTGATGCCAAAATCTATTGGGCCCCTCACATTTGTGTTTACAGGAACTGGCAATGTGTCTAAGGTAAGAAACGCTTGAAATATTCCACATTAATACATTTTCTCACTGAAACCATACACTATTATCTAGATCAGGGTAATAAATAGTTTTTAGATGTACATAATATCTATCTACCGTATAAATACTCAGTGCAATAATGTGGTTGCCCCAGGTGGCAGGTAGAGCAAGGCATTGCCCTTATATCAAAGTGGGAAACTCATGGTCTTCATTCCTGATGCCTTGCTCCTACCTTTTCCTTTTGGCCCCAGGACCATCCCTACAGATATCACTAAATCTCTCTTATTGTTCTAAGCTGTCTTGATAGTCAAATATGCCAGTGGTTTTCACTGTGTTTTCTATGGAACCACAGTTCATGAGAACTGGATGGAGTTTTGCAAAAGACTAAGTGCAAAGTCTCTTCCCCCCACCCTCCAGAGAGAGACACACACGAACATTAGACTTTTTAAAAACTAACACACTCACAGCTTTATGGCCGCAAAAAGTATAAACACTCCTGCAACAGTCAGAAAGGTAAATTAGGAGTCCAATATGAGATTTAATTTATAAAGTTGATATTAGTCAGTAAGATTTTTTTAATGGTTTGTGGAAAGAAAGTAAGGGCAAAATAGGTGTATTATTTAATTTATTAAATTTATATGCCGCCTATCTCCTTATAAAGATTCCACAAGACTCAACACACATTTTCCTCATTAGCTACCTCTTTTTTCCAAAGGTAAATGAAAATGGGCTACAAAAGTTTAGTCATATTAAAACTGACTATATCCCATATTGGGACTGTGTATACTCATTGGTGGAATCTCCAGGATTTTAGAGGCTTTCTCTGATCTCCCCATAGGATTCCTAGGTTGAAAGCAGATATTTTTCCCCTTGGAGTCAGAGTTTGAAATAACATGGGGAAACAAATGTCCTTTTGTGGTCTGTGGTCTTTGGATCGGAGTAGTAGGGTCTACAGGGAGCAAGAAATGAGAGCAAGGATTGAGAAGGAGGGAGTGGTGATCTACAGTCAGGTAGGATTTGAATGGCATCTTTCCTTGGCCAATTTGAGCATCATACCATTATTGACTCAGCATACCGGCTCTGTAAAATATAGTATACAAAGGTCTGTAGTATAAATATTATTTCCCATTGCCTTGCATTATTTCTAAAGTCTTATGCCTTTATCTGCAGGGTGCCCAGGAAATGTTTAATGCTCTGCCTTGTGAGTTTGTGGAACCCCATGAATTGAAGGAGGTCTCAAGAACTGGAGGTACTACTAAATCAATTATATGTGCATTAGAAATTTGCAGTATCTAGTATCTTTATTTGATTTACTGTCTATTTCATCACAGACCTTAGAAAAGTATATGGAACAGTACTAAGTCGACACCATCATCTTGTAAGGAAAACTAATGGGGTATATGATCCAGTAGAATATGAGAAGCATCCAGAACTCTATACATCACGGTTTAACAATGATGTAAGTAGGACCTCTTGTTTTTTCATGTTAGGAGCTCCTTGTTCTTTGACATTCACCATAGATTGTGAGCACCTGCCCTCTAGTCATCAAACACTTGTCTGAAATTCATGCTAATGCTGGCAATTCTTGGCAACATATCCTACTTGAACAAAGCTTTTTTTTATTTTTTGGGGGAGAGGAGGGTTCTTCAACTCTTAATTATGTAGACCTACTTCTGGAAAGCCCATAATTTGCATGTAGCTCTCAATGGTTAAAAATATCAGCTTCTGAAGGAACCAGGTTGCTGTCACCAAAATTCTCTCCCAATTACCATCAAAGGCTCCCTTGTTCAGTGGCATAGGCAGGGCTTTTTTTGTCATTTTTCGACGGATTTTCCAGAGTTGCATTCTTTTCCTATTATTGTCCTTCCTATCTTTGTTTGCTTTTGAAAATGCCCTACTGGTGGTATGATGTGAGCCCACCTGGGGGGGGGTCCCCTCCGGCGCTGTTCACCTCCTCTAGAAGGAGCCATGAGCACCATAGCCAAAGCGTGGCTTGATTGGCTGGGTCAGACCATGTGGTGTGGAAGCCGATGGTGGTGGTGGGAGACACATAAACATGAAGGCCATCTTTCACGAGAGGGTGAGCGAGCCTTTTGCCTTCCCTTACAGAAGGTGGGATGTGATGTTAAAAAGAGGGCAAAGCGAGAAGAAAGAAAGGCGGCTGGTGTGGAAGCTTGCCTGATAGCAAAACTTTGCTGTTTCAGATCCTTGGGTAGTTCAAAGGCTGGGATGTCTATGAAAATCTCTTTTTAGCTGTTTATACTTTATATTCAAACTGCAGAGGGGAAGAATAATAATAAAGCCAATATCTTGTGATTCGGAGGTATTATTATTATTAATAATAATATGTATTAATTATGTATTGGTCAGATGTAAAGGTAAACCCAGTGGTGAGATTCAAACAATTTAACAACTGGTTCTCTGCAAGAGGGGGAGGCAGGGGGGCGCTGCCACGAGGCAGGTGGGGGAGGGGAGCACCTGCCCCATGCTCCCCACTTACTGTGCCGAAGGACCCCCACAGCCAGGCCTACCACGCCCCGACACCTGTCACACCTCACCTGTTCAGTAGTGACTTCTTCCACTTTCTCCTTCCTTCTCCTTTGAACAACCCTTTGCTCCCATTGCTGCTTTTTCAGTCCCAAATCTTGGTTTGTCCAGAGCCTGTGCAGAGGGTCTTTGGAAACGAAGCTCTGCAGCAATTGGGTGGGGTGGGAACCATTCCCTTCACTTTTGGACCGGCTCCAAAATGGGCTGGAAGGAGCGGCCCGAGGACGCCAATTTGGCTTTGCAGCAAGCAAGGGGATTGGAGGCGCATGAATGCACGCCAGTCTGGCATCTCAAAACACCAGGTTTTTTCCCCTGCTGCTGGATTTTCACTGCCATACTGTTTTAAGTTTCTTTAAAGATTACTTAATGCAGAATGCAGATCCGTCCCATTCTGCATCAAGTAAACTTTAAAGAAACTTAAACAGTATGGCAGCGAAAATCTGGCAGTGTGAAAAAAAAACCTGGTCTCATACACAGTGAATCTGCATTGCCCACCTCCCCCCCCATGCCTCTGCCTGCCCGCTCAACCTGCTAAAACTCATTTCTAGCCGGGTGATCGATTTAGCAAAGGCACAGGGGGGAGGCAGGCATTGGAGATTCTCCATGCATGCGAAGTTGGCGAAGGAGGAAGTAAGCAGCAGCCCCAGTGGCAAGAAGGGCCACTGAAAAGAGCAGAGTCTGTTTGTGCGCCTGCCTTGCCTGAGCCAACCCTGCTCTCCATGGCACACTACAGCTGATCTGGGGCATGGAGAGCACGGCTAACAGGTGAGTGCGTAGCAGGTGCGCATGAGGAGGGAGGCAACTTGCAACCTCAGCGGCAAGAAGGGCCGGCAAAAAGAGCAGAGTCTCTGTGTACGCCTGCTTTGCCCAAGGCAGGCACACACACAGACTCCGCTCTCTTCGGCAGACCTTGCAGCTGGGGCTGCCGCTTGCTTCCTCCTTCACCAAGTTCACATGCACTATGAATCTGCATCACCTGCCTCTCCCTGTGCCTTTGCTATAAATCGATCACCCAGCTAGATATGAGGTTTAGCAGGCTGAGCGCGCAGGCAGAGGCATGGGAGGGAGGTGGGCAGTGCAGATTCCTGCTAGGCAGCAGGCCAGCTTCGGTGGCGCCAATCTTGGCTAGGCTGCTGCTGCAGTGCTTGTGGCTTGGCTTCTTGCTGACTGGCAGAGACTCCCCAGCTTCAAGCCCTCTGGGTCAAGGAATGCGCGGGCAAACAGCTGCCAGGCTCCTCCTGGGTTTCCATAGGTCCCGGATTCAGGCTGCCGCAGGGCTGTGATGTGGGTGGAGGCACCTCCTGTAATCTTTGGAATTTACTATGAACATTTGCCTTAAATACAATAAATTAAATTTTTGTTAAGAACTGGATATATAATTTTTTAAATAAAAGATTAACAAGATGTAAGTTCTGGCACTTTTTTTTTTTAACAAAAAAAAAGCACTGGACATAGGGAAAGGATAATTTTCCTGGAGGTGGGAATCAGAGTGGTACAATCTTTCCGCAAGTATTCAGCATTGTAAAAGGAGGTCCATCTTGACCACCTGTTATCAGGCAGCCTGTTCTGCACCCAAATCTTTTGATGTCAAAATAAGTGCAAGGCATTCAGTTGATGGAAACAGCCATTAAAAATAATTAATTTGACTCATGTATAATTGACATCACAGGGAATAAGTAAAATATAGTTTCATTTACAGATTGCACCGTATGCTACCTGCGTGATAAATGGAATCTACTGGGAGCAGAACACCCCGCGCTTGCTAAACAGACAGGATGCACAAAAGCTTTTGACTCCTCTCCAACCTTCTCCTGCTGCTACAGAGGGCTGTCCTGAATTGCCGCACAAGTAAGATGTTTTAACTAGGACATGATCTGGAAACAACCAGTATCACAGTGGGATGGATGGATGGAGTTGGAACCAGCTTGTCTGGCACTGAAAGAAGAAGCTGGAAAAGCATTGGAAAAGCAATGTCCTTTCCATCTGTGATTCCCTATGCCAGTGATGGCGAACCTTTTAGAGACTGAGTGCCCAAAAAATGGCCCTGCCCCCATTCTATCCCCTGCCCTGCCTCGGCCCCGCCCTCACCCCATCCCCCCCACCTGCCCGCAGGACCACTCACCGCCTCCAGGGCCCGCCGCAGATTGCCCAGGCAGCCCAGCAGTGCCATGGCAGCCACGCCCTCTGCCCACCCCCTGCAGCATTAACTGTGCGCAATGGGACATGAGAGCAGAGTCTTGTCTACACTGCCTGGCTGCCATGTCCTTGGTTGCGCTGCTTCGTGTGGGCCACGCTCGGGGGCAAATCTCCCCTGGGGGGCTGCTGGTGAGGAGGGGGTTGCGGGGAGGGGAGGCTGGAGCAATGGCATGTGTGTCCACAGAGAGGGCTCCAAGTGCCACCTCTGGCACGCGTGCCATCAGTTCGCCATCACTGCCCTATGCCATTTTAACATTACTCCAGAAGATGCTCTGATGTTCTGGGAACACGATGAGAGGAGACACTGTAAGTTGCAGGACAGATGATGATTGGAGAACTGGCCCTAAGGTATCCAGAGTAGCCAGATGCCAAATTATCTTCTTCAGCTACTATCTTCATCATTCCCATTATTAGTCATGCTGGCTAGGCTGGCAGAGTAACAGTGGCAATTAATTTATCTAGTTGCTAGTTAAATATATCTCACCTGTCTAATAAAGACAAATAGTAATAAAATAGCTTTCCCCAATTTATAAGGAGAATATTTAAAGGCCTGTCAGCAACAAATATAGGGCAAATATCATTTAAAACTTGTTACGGCACGCATGACAGTTTAAAAACTGCAGATAAGTTTGGATGAAAAGTTTTTTGCCTGTTGATAGGTAACATTGAAGAATTCTTTGCCAATCTGAAGATGTTAAAATCCTTACAAATAGCATGTTTCCAAATGATGTCAAGATTTATAGACCAATCATTTGAGTTTGAATAGAATATATCAATTCTAGAAAGAGACACATTTAATCCCAATTATAGGGGTTTTCTGGGAAGGATCCTAAGAATTACATTTCTAATTAATAATTCTGTACTGAAGTCACAGTTGACTAAATTGGTATCCTTCTAATCTATTCTTACCAATGCAGTAACTTTTCTGTTACTGCTAATAATAATCAATTTTTTTCTCTACTGAGTTCAGATATTCATATGGTTGTAGCCACACTTCTCTATCTTGTTTAGGTAACCTGGTGACCTCAGATTTACCACTAGCTTGGTGGCTGGTGCTGGTGAAAATGAATCCAAACTATTTGGATGACAACAGTTACCTATCTCTATCTTAATATGACCTACTGTATGTGGTTATTGCGTTATGATTTCATTAATGTTAGGCATGTCACTTTCTGCAGTCTTGATTTTCAATATACCTTTAAAAATACCCAAAATAAATAGAAAAAAATATTCATACTACTGTACTTACATCTAAACTTTACCTGTGTGACTAGCATTATGTTAGCATTCTTCCCCATTGCTTTCATTCCCTTTTAATAAAATTTTACCCTGGAGTGCTTCTCAGGTTTCCAGTCTTATCATTTTTTATGATTAATGACAATCTTGTTTAGATGAATGTAGCTAAATCAACCACATTATATAAGCTATACATAATGTTGAATAGACACATACATGCAGAGAGAGACAGAGAACGCTGTAGAGATATTCCTAATTGGCGTCACTGTCCAATTAGAACATGGTTAGAAGTCCTTACATGTGTTCAAAAATACAATTCATATAATTTCTGAAGGTGGCAATTTTTTTTACTTATCCATAATGACATACAGATCGTCCTTGACTTATGACCACAATTGAGCCCAAAATTTATGTTGCTAAGTAAAACATTTGCTATGTGAGTTTTGGCCCATTTTACCACCTTTCTTGCCACAGATGTTAAGTGAATCATTGCAGTTGTTAAGTTAGTAACACAGTTGTTAAGTGAATATGGTTTCCCCATTGACTTTGCTTGTCAGAAGGTCACAAAAGGTGATCACGTGACCCTGGAACCCTGCGACCGTCATAAATAAGCGTCTGAATTTTGATCACGTGACCACAGGGATTCTGCAGCTGCAGTCGTAAGTGTGAAAAACGGTCATAAGTCACTTTTGTCAGTGCCATTGTAACTTTGAACGGTTACTAAATGAACTGTTGTGAGTCTAGGACTACCTGTATTTCATTCATTATTCTGAGGAATATCTTTTTGTCAGTGGATTATTATTTTATTTTAATCAATTCTAGACTTGTTGCAATATGTGACATCTCAGCAGACACTGAAGGATCTATAGAATTTATGACAGAATGTACAACAATTGATAGTCCATTCTGTATGTACGATGCTGACCAGCATATTAATCATGGCAGGTAAGAGATTTTATTTTTTAATTTTGTACTGGCTTGCTTTTGAATTGAGGATTCAGGGTTTTTTGTCTTTTTAATAGTGGTTTTGGAATCCTTTACTTAAGTAGGATGAATAATCAAGCATAAGGGATGCTAAAATAATTTTGTTTAAGAAATTTCTGGAAATAAAACTTTCCTCTCTAACCACCCCTTTCTTGGCAGTCATTTGTACACGAGCCCCTTCTCAAACCACTCTGGAAGGGCAAGGGTTCTCTTAAATAGTGTGCAAAAATTCATCAGACTTTTTGGAAGAGAGATTTTTTTTTAATTTTGTGTACTGCTTACATTAAGATCCAAGCCAGATTTGGGAAGTAAGTCATCCTTCCTAGCATTTCCTAGACAAGTGGTTCTCAACCTTTTTAATGCCACGACCCCCAACCGGTTGTAAGTCGAGGACTACCCAACTGGTCGTAAGTCGAGGGCTTTCCCTGTCCAGGAACGCTGCGCATGTGTGGTGCCGCCCCCTGCGCCGGCCGAGGCGTAGCTGGCAAGCAGCAGAGATGGCGCAGGCAAACCACCGGCTGGGCCACCAGGTAAGGCACCCGCCGGGCCCCACGCACGCCAGCAACCCTCCCTGCGCCCACCGGCCTCCCACTTCCCACCCCTGGCCCTCTTTTATTTACATTTTTAGTAGTTGCTCAGCAGGGAGGGGTGGAAACTTCCAGATAGCTCGCCTGCGCTGCAGACAACTTGCAGCATCGTTTGCAGAATGGGACTTTTGGCAGGCTCAGCAGGGCAGAGACAGCCTGGACAATTCCTATTGGCTTTCAAAAGCCAATCGAATAAAAGGGAGTAGCACAACTAAGGAAAAGGGGAAAAAATGGCAGACTGCGTTGTTTGGCGACCCCCGTGAAATGGTCGTTCGACCCCAAATGGGGTCCCGACCCACAGGTTGAGAACCACTGTCCTAAACCCTATCTGATAGGTGGTCTCCTCAATCTTAAGAGACAATTCTTTTCTCCCCCAACTTCATCCATAACATCTTTTTGGCTGTTCATTACATGGAATGAAATGTCTCTCTCTTCCAGTGTGGAGGGATCTGGGATTTTGATGTGTTCTATTGATAACCTACCAGCTCAGCTTCCTATAGAGTCAACAGAATGTTTTGGAGACATGCTGTTCCCCTATATTGAAGAAATGGTAAGTAGATGGTGCGCCTTTTGGTCTATTCAAAATAATAGAAATCTGCTGTAAAATGTAACGGGCTTTCATGAAATGATTTCTAGATACTCTTTCTTCTTGCTAAAGTTTTAATATTTTCAAATATTGTTGGACAGCTTTTTTTTCTCCCTCTGCTCACATTGTTTGAGAAAAAAATCATCATCTGGGGATAAAAATATGGGAGATGAAAGTTGCATATATACAGTATATCATATAGGAATAGTTTCATGAAAGTTGTCTTCCTACCTAAATTATGATGGCTCTTTTCATCTGTGCTAATTTGGGCAGTTCTTCAAAAGATGGCTAATGAAACATTTTTTAAAAAATTGCAATGGATAATTGCAATGGATTGCAATCTGATTGACTGTGGTATCATGATATTACATATGTGATATTTAAAATGGAAAATGGACTTTATTGGATTGAGAAAAAAACGGCTGTAAATAGTTATGGTAAAACCAGTGAAAAATTAGACAGCTTAAAACCAATACAGGAATACTTGCAGCTAATGGCTTCAATATTTAATACAGCTTTAATTTGCACTGAAAATATATTTTGGGTAGAGTTGGGTAAAGTAATAACTCTGTTTGTGGAGTCTCTGAACTTGGTTGTTTGCTTTCAGATGTTTTATTTCCTGAGTAGGTAATTTCATCAGAGCTAATGAGTGTACAGTTTATTCCCTGTTTATATATGTACTAGCTTGCCCTACCACTGTTGACAGGGATGCGGTTTTCCTCGTAGTTTCTTGATTAGGGCATTGGGAGTTTTGCTAGATTTTGTCTGCTGTTAATTTCTGCTTATCTGGGTGTTGATTGGTGGAGTGGAACATGGTCTTTGTTTCCCTGTTTAGCTTTTTTATTGGTTCTTTTGAATAGTGTGACACACATCACAAAGGTGCAGCAATGCTTTTGATATCTGACAAAAGCATCCAATCCTATGGATGCCTCTGGCAACTATAGTTAACCTGATTTTACTTTTATCTTTATTGATTCAGCCAATAAAACAATTTTCTGACAAATGATAAATAGAGGTTAGGAAAGATCTTATCTTGAGAGGGCCATTACTATTGCAATGATTTTCTAGATACTAGGCTTGCAATTCCATATCTTAAATCACTAATTGTATGACATGAAAACAATGAATTAAATAAATAACAGCATTATTGACTGTTTTAAGGATACTATTTTCAAAATAGCTATTAAAAATAAATATGTTAAATATCAAATTTTAATCAATTTGGATTCTAAGTACATCTTAAAATGGAGACACCAGTGACTGAATTTGGGATAATCTCCCATAAGACTAAGCAAATCTGTTGGCTAGAAATGGATTTCAAGTGTCTTCATAGCACATCAAAAGTATTTTATGGTGCTTCCAATGCAAATTATTCCTTTTCTATAAAGAATTATTCAAATATGTTAGACTACAACATTCACAGTTATTGGTCTGATATCAGTTTGCCTACCTCTGTTTTACACAGTGCTTCTGTAAAATCCAGTTGTTAAGCTGGTTTCTTATAGTTTCCTAAATAGTTCCTTTGTTGTTGTGATATGAAAACTTATTTCTGTTAAACTTAGTTCCTTTCCAAATCTTACTCAAGCAAAAAGAATAATCTTTTATATTACTTTGCAAGAATCATAGTTCTTGCATCTCTTGCCTTCTAGATAAAACCTGTAATGAATGTCTTGTAGATTAGGCTTTTTGTTTGTATTTTGTCATTCTTCTCTCTAATCACACTCCCTGCCTTCCAGCTTTTGTAGTGTGTCGCAGACCAGGCATCCTTCTGATAAAAAGTTGCAACTGGTTTTCCTCTTTATATAATATAGTCTGTGGTATAAAAATATATTGTGCTTGTATCTTTCTCACCTCAGTGCTGTTAATATTAAGTTAAAATATGGAGAAGTTAATACTAGAAAAGTTTTAATTGCCAATTTCATTTTCAAAATAACGTGGCTACCATGCAGCTAGCATTTTCATCTGAGTTTCTGTCTTGACAGTTCCTAGGTTTTTAATAAACATTTTTCAAGGTTCTCTTACCTTCCAACATAATTACATATCTGAGGATGTGTGTGTATGTGAAAGCAACTTTTCTAACAGAAAACCTTGCTCTCCACAGCTCCTCTCTGATGCTTCAGAGTCCCTGGAAAGCCAGAATTACTCACCTGTAGTTAGAGATGTAAGTCTTATAAATCAATTGTCTTTCTTCCACACACTTTAAAAAGGAAATCTGCATGCCAAGGTCAACTGTAAGGAGAGTAATTATGTCTCTCATGTACTTTTCTAGGCAGTGATTACATCCAATGGTTCACTGACTGATAAGTATAAATATATCCAGAAACTGAGGGAGAACAGGTAATACAAGGTTTACTTTTTTCCTCTTCAGAATATATTCATCTCAAGTATAAAATTATTGAGCCTATATCTGCATGCTAATATGAATGTTTTGTTTTATGGGATGAAGTTAACACAACAATCACAATGTGTCTAGCTAAAGTCAAGCAAAAACAAAAAGAGCAAATATGGACCATTCCTTCTAGTGTCATCACGAATGATTAGATATTTGTGAGTCTTTGGAAAAATGTCCTAAGTTTATTTTTAGATGTGATCAGCTGGATTATAGTCTCTTGCCACTGAAATGTGTGGTATATAAAGATTCACTTGAAGGTGACATTCAGATTTGAAGGATTCATTTGAAGGCAATTCAAATAGTGCAGAATTCAGTTGGTACCCATGTTTCCCTGAAAATAAGACTTACCCTGAAAATAAGACCTAGCGTGATCTTTTTTATGTTGCTCGCAATATAAGCCCTACCCGAAAAATAAGCTCTAGTTAAGAGCATCAGTGGGCAATGGAGGGGTGGGCGTGGCCAGCACAGGAGGTGGTGAGCGCGCATGCAGGGGCTGAAGGTATCCGGAAGCAGCTGCAGCCCACCGCCTCTTGGCTGATGCACTCTTCATTTAAATTGAGGGTAAATTCCTCTAAGAAGCAGGTGGAGGCAGAGGTGCGGGGGAAGACACACAATCTGTCCCAACTGCTGCTTGCAGGGACTTACTAAAATAGGGGCTATTTTCCCCCTTTTAAACCTGACCTCCTTTTCAACGATATCATCCTGAAAGAACAATCTCCCTCCCCCTGGATCCATCTACCAGTCAGCAAACTGGCTCTTTGATTCCCCCCCGCAGGGATCCATCCAGCCCTTATGGCCACTAAGAGATCATTTGTTGGGCTTATACACGACCCTCTCTCCAAATCCATTTCCACCTCGGCAAATCCAGGGATCGATTCAAAGGCACCCCGCTGTAAACTCTCCCCAAGGCTGGCACTTGGCTCTCGGCATTACCACACACACACTTGGCAAACCACAATCCAGTCGCTCCATCCATTCACAGGAACTTAAAGAGACACGGCTCCAATTTATTGCTTTTTGTCGTCCCCTCCCCCCCATCTCAAGATAATGAAACAGCTGCCGCTTCCCAAAACAAACAAGTCCAATACTACCTGGAGGGTTCCCACACTTTTGCAAAAGTGATCCAAACACGGCATGAGGAACAGCCACCACTTTTCCCAGGCAGATGTGTGCGGGAGAAGCATGGCGAGGCAGGTACCCTAACCTTGTCTTGGCAGCTGGGAATGATGGGGCTTTTCATTCCTCAACTCAGAAGCAAGGGGAAGGAGAAGGAGGGAAAGGGAGAGTAGTCATTCGAGGGCTGCCTCTTCGCCAGCTTCTCCCCAGGCTTGCTCATGGGAACCTGGCACGGAAGGAAGTGTCTGTTTCTTGAAGATTTGTCCCAACCCTCCCATCCTCTTTGAACCTGGCCTCCTTCTAGGAGGGAAATGGAGGGCTAGGCTGGGCTGAAACGGAAGAGAAAGAGGGGAGGAGGGAAAAGCCGTGCAGCTATGGTAAGGACGAGGGGCTCGCCCGTCTCTCTGCAAACCCTCTCAGGAGACATGGTGTGCAAATGTAAAAGCCACTCCTTCCAAGTCAGCAGCAGTGGGCTACTTCTTCCTCTCCCCAGGAGTGTCTTGTCAGCATTCCCTTGATAGTCCTTCCCCTGCCCCCGCACAGTTCCCAGGGACGGAAAGGGGGTGAGAGAGAGAGGAGGGGGAACAAATGGAAAGGGCGATCGGACTCGCGGTGTTTTGTTTTGATTTGCATGCCGTGTCTCTTGAGAGGCCTCATGAAGAGGTGGGTGAGCCCCTCATCCTTAGCTGCTGGATGGAGGGCTAGGGTGGGTTGAAGCAGAGGAGAATAGGGGAAGAAGCCGCGCAGCTAAGGATGAGGGCTCACCCACCTCTCCGCGAGGCCTCTTAGGAGAGACGGCATGCAAATGTAAAAGCCACTCCTTCCAAGTCAGCAGCAGCGCCTGAATCAAAACAAAGCATCATGAGTCCAGACACCTTTCCTGTTTGTTGCCCTCTTCGGGAAGCGTTTCAGTAGCAGGTCAGGCTGGGTGTTATTCACGTCACATCCCAGGCAATAGCAGGTGTGCCTTCTCCCTTTCAAAACATGCTGGGATGCTATCTGAATAAGACCCAGCTTGACCTACTATTGAAACATTTCCCAACTCTTTCCCAAAATGTGCTTGCAGCAGCTGCTGGACATGTGAGTGCCACCCACAGCGGTCCAAGTTGGTGCAAGTGAGCAGCGAGCACGTTGAAAATAAAAAGCGGTACTCGCCACTGCTCCTTGCAATGCAGAAGGCAGTGAAACATAGAGAAGAGCCACTTTCCCTTTGGGAAAGAGCCGGGAGGCATTTCAATAGCAGGTTAAGCTGGGTCTTATTCAGATCACATCCTGGCATGTTTGGAAGGGAGAAGCCGCAGCTGCTATTGCCCATGCTGGGCTTTGCACGGTGGCGATGAGAGACTGCAGGATTTATTTTTACCTCCCTTTCAAAACATGCCGGGCCCTGTTGGGCGCTGCAGCTCTCGTGCCTGCTGTGTGATACAGCGCAGCTCCACCAGCAGTGGGGGGTGCTCCTGAGGTCATAGATCTCGGCTGTCTTGCCCTGTGCCAGGCAAGAGCAGCCCGGCAGGGTGGCCGAAAGCAGTGCTGCCAGGAAAGTGAAGACCTCCCATGAGTCCAGCAGCAGCACGGGCAGCTGTTCAGTGGCCAGGGGCTGAGAAGTGTCCCAGCAGCAGGGCCAGCAGGCAGGGCAGGCGGAGGCTGGGGCATGCCAAGAGTTTGGTGTGTTGCAGTCGCAAGCAAGTAGACCAGTGGTTCTCAACCTTTTTAATGCCGCGACCCCCAACCGGTTGTAAGTCGAGGACTACCCAACCGGTCGTAAGTCGAGGACTTTCCCTGCCCAGGAGCACTGCACAAGCGTGGTGCTGCCCCCTGCACCGGCTGAGGCGTAGCTGGCAAGCGGCAGAGACAGAACAGGCCAACCACCAGCTGGGCCACCAATTGGCCCAGCCCAAGGGAGGTAAGGCACCCGCCGGGCCCCACACGTGCCAGCAACCCTCCCTGTACCCGCTGGCCTCCCACCTCCCATCCCTGGCCTTACATTTTTAGTAGTTGCTCAGCAGGGAGGGGTGGAAACTTCCAGACAGCTCGCCTTTGCTGCAGACAACTTGCAGCACCGTTTGCAGAATGGGACTTTTGGCGGGCTCAGTAGGGCAGAGACAGCCTGGACAATTCCTATTGGCTTTTGAAAACCAATAGAATTAGACTCTATTCAAGATAGTCTATTCTATTGGCTTTCAAAAGCCAATAGAATAAAAGGGAGTAACACAGCTAAGGGAAAAGGGAAAAAAATGGCGGACTGCGTTGTTTGGCGACCCCCGTGAAATGGTCGTTCGACCCCAAATGGGGCCCCGACCCACAGGTTGAGAACCACTGAAGTAGACAGTGGGACGGTGAGGGTGGGACCTGCAGTAGCAGTGCTCCCAATCCTGATGGCCTCTGCGCTCACTGCTTCCTCTACGTGAAAAAAATAAGACATCCTCTGAAAATAAGCCCTGGTGTTTATTTCAGAGCCCAAAAGAAAATAAGACCGGGTCTTATTTTGTGGGAAACACGGTATAATAAAATGGTTTCTGCACGTCCTGATTGTGGCAACATGCAGACAACAACATCTATTTATACCTGTTCTTTGTTCCCTGATCAATGCACACTTGAGGACCTTATGGCAGTACAACAGAAAGCAATTAATGTTGCTAGTTTCTGGGCAAGATCTGTTTAACTTGTACATAATTTAATCTTGTATTTAATATTTTAAATTTTATGTCATATACTATGCATTATTTTAATTGTGATGCTTCTGACATTAACAAACAAACAATAAAGAGGCCTTATATAATATTAATTCTGAAAGGGTTACACTGGTTGCCTCTTGGCTTTTAAATCCAAGATGCTGTTTCCCACCTTTAATGTAAATTCAGAATCTGCATTTAATATTTACCGAGATGCCACGGATCACAACAGGAGAAGTAATGATGCTGAAATTTTTCATCTTTTCCCCTTGGGTTTTTGGAGGGATTTGGATTCTTCTTTGTTTTAAAATGTATGTCAATCATGTTTTAAGACTTAGGCTATATTTCTATGTGTTTCCCATCTCACAATTCGGAAAAAACATGTTACCATTTTTAGGGGTTGTAAGTGATTGTTGAAAACTTTGTTTTAATTTCTTAATGATTCTATTTCTCTATAGAAGCTTTTCCTTCAGTACCCCTCCCAGAGAGAGGGAGGATCTTCCAAGTTGCACAAGGGGAGATAACCTCTGGTTTTGCATTGCTTATAGAAGCTTTTAGAGCAGGGCTATGCAGCATTTTTTAAGTTTGGATCTCACTTAGAGTTCTTTTGGAAAGACTTCCACCAGTATCATGCAGTCCTGGGTCTTTCGTTGTACACTCCTGGCCTCAGGCAATAGATTTAATACTGCCATTGTAAGTCTCTATAAGTTTTGGGTTGATGAGTTGGCCTGATGGAGTTGGGATGATATTGTAGTCTCAAGACTGGTGGACAAAAAACACGCTTGGTGTCACACAAACAGTTCATGCCCAGGTAAAACACTTGCCTTCTAGCTGTGAATATCTAAATGGGTAGAAGTATTGAGGAAGAATGCTTGGACATTCCTGGAGTTGCTTTTTGCGTGGCTTGGACTGGTGATAGATACAATGTATACAAAGCAGGATCTATCTGCAGTTGGCAATCCTGCAGGAGCAAGCAAGAGTCTGAGAAAGTGATCTGCCCAATGAACAGCTGGTGGAAAGCACTATTGTTTCAGGAGGACAGATTACGGATCAGCGCGGACAGTTTGATTAAGATGCTGGAGTCCCAAAAAAGAATTACTCTTCCTGTTCACCTTCCTAGGATAGAAGTGAGCCCGAAGCGAAAGAAGAGGAAGAAGCTGCAGGAAAGAGACAGGGAGAGAGTGATCGAGTGAAACAGATTGTTGTTGTTGTTAATTGCAGAGTCGTGTCCGACCCATCGCGACCCCATGGACAACGTTCCTCCAGGTCTTCCTGTCCTCTACCATCTTCTGGAGTCCATTTAAGTTCACACCTACTGCTTCAGTGACTCCATCCAGCCATCTCATTCTCTGTCGTCCCCTTCTTCTATTGCCCTCAATCTTTCCCAGCATTAGGCCCTTCTCCAGTGAGTCCTTCCTTCTCATTAGGTGGCCAAAGTATTTGAGTTTCAACTTCAGGATCTGGCCTTCTAAAGAGCAGTCGGGGTTGATCTCTTCTAGGACTGACCGGTTTGAACGCCTTGCAGTCCAAGGGACTCGCAGGAGTCTTCTCCAGCACCATAGTTCAAAGGCCTCAATTCTTTGGCGCTCAGCCTTTCTTATGAAACAGATAAGACTGAAATTGTATAGATTTGTATATGTACAGTTTGTTAAACTAAAGCCAGAAAAGAATTGTGAGTTCCATCCCTTTTTCCCACCCTCTAGCACTGGTCAAAATTCTTTGTCACATCCATGTTATTTACTTGGCAGATGTATGTAAAATGTTTTGACACAGCATTCTTCCTGGATCTTTTTCTGGACTTCTTGGTGTAGCTTATAGCCCTGCTTTTTCCTAGTAGTCTTCCATCCAAGTATTAGCCAACTCTGATCTTGCTTAATTTTTTTTGAAATCAGCCAAGTTCAGATAGGTACTGCTTCTACCTACTTCTTAATATAAATTAGTTGCCTTTTAATTGGGACATGCAATAATTGTCTGATATGATAGGAACGATATTACATATTGTGTCCTCTTTGTTGAGGATTTTAAGATTCTATTTGGGAATAGTTGTGGGATTAAGCCCTATTGTCTATTTATTTTCATCCCTCCATTTGTGAATGAATTCAGATTCTTACACCTATATTTAAACAAACCTCACTGATCAATAGAGTAATGGCTATAATCTCTTGGACCGTATGTGTTGATATTATGATTACAGCAGAAGGAAATATATATTGATTTCACTGTAATCTTGTAAGTGTAAAGCTACTGGTAGAATTTGTAGAGGCATAGGGATAGAGGCATAAAATTGCACACCATTAAACTGACCATTTTTCACAATCAAATGCAAATGCAATATTGAAAATATTTTCATATGGGCTGAGGTTAAATGAGCTCTGAAGGAATAAAACCCTACTAATCAAAAGGTTTTTAAAGCAAATTTATAATGTTAACAATTGTGTTGCTTATTTTACTGAAACTCACTTTTAATTGTATATATTGTAGGGAATATATGCAGTCCCTGACCATGGATAAGAAAAAGAAGGTTTTAATACTTGGATCTGGATATGTTTCTGAGCCTGTAATAGAATATCTTACAAGAGATCCCAGTGTTGAAATAACAGCAGGTTTGTAAGTAAGGTTATAACCCTAAAATCTCAGCATTGCTAAAACTAATGGAAAACTGCTTTGTATTTATAAATATTTCTCACTTATTTGAGAAGGATTCTGTCTTTGTTCCTTCTTCTATTATTGGCTAGGATACAGGTAGTCCTCAATTTATGACCACAATTGGGACCAGAATTTCCATTGTTTAGCAAGTCAGCTGTTAAGTGAATCACATTCAATTTTACAATCTTTTTTTTGCAATGGTTGCTAAATGAATCCAATGCAGTTAACTGAGTCAGGCAGTCATTAAGTGAATTTGACTTCCCTCATTGACTTTGCTTGCCAGAAGACAACTGGGAAGGTTGCAAATGGTGATCACATGACTCTGGGACACTGTAACCAATGTAACTACATGCTGGTTGCCAAGTACCCAATTTTTTTTGTTTTTGCCTGATCATGGGGTTTGATTGTAAGTGCAAGGGCTAGTCGTAAGTCATTTTTTTTCAGTGCCATTTGAATGGCCACTAAACAAATGGTTGTAACTCAAGGACCACCTGTGTAGCCATTGGGTGGAATAAACATAGTTTCTACTTGCAGAAGAGCATCACTCTTACAGAAGCACCCTACCATGAAAACATATTTTTGAACTAAATCTTATGAAAACAACTACTTTGTATCCCACTTACTGATTTCTGAATTACATCAAAAAATGGGTAAAAGCAGAAGAAGGCAAGCCTGTGTTTCAGTACCAGATGGGATTCTGTACATCTGCAGGCCTGCATGTGTCAATATTTGCTTTGCTCTTCCTCAGTGCCCTGTTTTTTATTATTATGTTGTGTGTGTTTTTTAAAGACTAATATGGAAGCTGGCTAGAGTTGCCTTTTTGACTGAGGTTTATACATGTTTATAAATTAAAAAGAAACACATCTGAGATGCTTATCTAAGATGAAATTAACCCAATATACCTCTGTGCATTTATGTTTGTAATGTGCTGCTTGATCTTCTCCCTGAAATATGCTGTGTTCTTTTGGAATTAACTTTTCCAATACTTGCATTAGCATCTCTGCATTTTTTTTTTTAAATTGCAGAATTGAGATTTTGAGAATTGAGATTTGGATGGAATCTTGGGCTAGCCCTTCTTACTGTGATTACTCTTTAATTTTTGAAATTTTATTTAGTGATGTTTTCAACATCTCTCCATCCATGACTGATAAAATTGTTGGGTGGGGTGTTTTTTCTTTTGCCTTATTTATTTAGTTGAAGATCCAACTGCTAGCAAGTTGAGTTAAAATGTTCCTGACTGCCTACAGTGTCACCCACTTTAATTCCCTGTCTGGTGGAGAATGTGGGAGTAGTTGACCTGAATGGCTTAGAATGACTAAGCCACCATTTCATTATTTTCATTTGTTGATACTCTCGATTTCTTTCCCCTCCAAACAGTTTCTTCGGTGAGCCTTTGTCCTAGAACAGGTACTGCTTTGCCTGCATGGATTAGCTTAGTTTTAGCTAAATACTCCTCCTGTTCTTGCCACTGTGTACCACAACATGGTTTTAGAGAATATTCAGTTTTTGGTCCCTGATTCTACAGATAATATTTTTCAGCAATAAGCCTTGTTTGTTGAAGTTTTATTGCTCTAATCTATTTGATACCTCATTCTCCTTTCATCTTAAAATGCTGCCCCCCCCCCGTTCTAATGGCTGCCTTAAGAAACCATTGCAAATCACAGAAGTTTATTACACCTATTTTATTGCTTAAGAAAAATAATTTTGCCAACTTGTGATGGCTAAGGTACTAAAAAAATTTCCATTATTGGTTTACATGACCAGTTGGGCTTTATATCTCAGAGATAAACCCCTTATTTTCTGGATGGTTCAGCAAGCTATGCCTAATCTGATAAGGATGTGAAACTTTCTGACATTGTTTCAGTGGAGGAGGAGTGCATGAGAGCAAGGTTTTCGTGATCTCATCTGCTAACGCTAAGCACTGGTTCAGGTTATGGTTTTGAGAGGCAGCATACCTCTCAAAGATGATATACAAGTTAAAAATGCTGTGGGAGCCAGTCTTTTTCAACTATCATTCATACTCTCCAATAGCCTCTATCATGAAGACTCAACTTGAGCAGTTGTCCAAGAAATACAATAATGTTGTTCCCATCATTATGAACATCACAGAAGAGGAGAGATTATCATCATTGGTGAAGAAACATAATCTTGTAATTAGGTCGGTATTTGATCATGAATTTCAGAAAGTGCAAATGAACTGTTCCAGAATAAGGCTTGATAATTTAAGTATCTGATTCCTAGCAGTCACTCAGGTTTATTTATTGAAGCCTTTTAAGTGTTTACATCCACAATATGGTCCCATTAGTAGATAGCATTAGCATTGAACAATAAAAATGAATTATCATGATAAAATGATCTCAAAAATAAAGTCTAAATGTTTATGTTCATATCTGTCATAAGTAAACTCTGATGAAATATAGTGAAATTCACAAAAGATTATATATTAATACATTTGGTCTTATATAGAAGTTGCCTTTTTATTACTGTTTAAAACTTGGTTTTTTTTTAACTAAGAACATGTTCCAGGTTAGTTGAAATATACAGTATATTCTCTGGTTCTGGTGTTTTTTTCTCCAAAGAACTCAGGATTATATATGCTAATGAGATGTAAACTCCCTCCCTCCCATTTTATTCTTACAACATCTGTGTGAAAGAAGAAAGATAGTAACTGGCCCATATTCATTCACTGATCTTATTTATTTATTTAATTTATTAAAAATGTACTGAATGTGGCTGTGCAACTGCAGTAAATAACTGGGTGGAAACAATAAAAATCAACACTAAACAACAAAGATACAATTAAAAAGACAATAAATACAAAAGCTGAAGCATCTTGTACTTCAAAAAGGCATTTGATAAAGTAGACCACAACCTACTACTTGATAGAAAAATGTGGGTTGGACAGCATCACCACCAGATGGATTTGTAGCTGGCTGACCAGCTGTACTCAGCATGTGGTCCTCAATGGAACTGCATCTACATGGAGGGAAGTGTGTAGTGGGGTGCCCCAGGGCTCTGTTCTAGGCCCAGTGCTCTTCAACATCTTCATCAATGATTTGGATGAGGGGATAGATGGGGAACTCATCAAATTTGCAGACGACATCAAGCTGGCAGGAATAGCCAACACTCCAGAAGATAGACTTAAGATACAGAAGGATCATGAGAGACTTGAACATTGGGCGCTTTCTAACAAAATGAAATTCAATGGTGAAAAAAGTAAGGTTCTACATTTAAGCAAGAAAAACCAAATGCACAGGTATAGTATAGCTGATTCCTTGCTCAATAGTAGCAACTGTGAGAGGGATCTTGGAATCTTAGTGGACAATCACTTAAATATAAGTATGCTGCAGCTGCCAAAAAAAAAAAAAAAAAAGCCAGCACAGTGCTAGGCTGCATTAACGGAGGGATAGAATCAAGATCACGTGAAGTGTTAATACCACTTTACAATGCCTTGGTAAGACCACACTTGGAATACTGCATCCAGTTTTGGTCGTCACGATGTAAAAAAAGATGTTGAGACTCTAGAAAGAGTACCAAGAAGAGCAGCAAAGATGATTAGGGGACTGGAGGCTAAAATGTATAAGGAACGGTTGTTGGAATTAGATATGTCTAGTTTAATGAAGAGAAGGACGAGAGGTGACATGATAGCAGTGATCCAATATCTCAGGGGCTGCCACAAAGAAGATGGAGTCAAGCTATTCTCCAAAGAACCTGAAGGCAAGACAAGAAGCAATGGATGAAAACTAATCAAAGAGAGAAGCAGCCTAGAACTAAGGAGAAATTTCCTGACAGTTAGAAGAATTAATCAGCGGAACAACCTGCCTCCAGAAACTGTGAATGCTCCAACACTGGAAGTTTTTAAGAAGAGACTTGACAGCCATTTGTCTGAAATTATTATTATCTTACGCATAATTAAAAATCCCACTGCACATACAGTATATCAAATTTCTCTAACTACTCTGTCTTCTGCTATTTTAAACCCAATTCATTCAATGTCAAACTAGTCATAGTGACTGAAGAAGTTCATATTTCTGATTTCAATGGACTATGACGTGGACCTAAGAAATATGTTTTTCTGTGAGTTGAGTGTGTGAGTGCTTGCACACAGACACACAAACACACACACACACACACACACACACACAAGAAAGCTCATGTAGCAAGAAGTAAATGCATTAATTGCCTCAGTTTTAATTAAGTATTGATCCATTTGAGTTAGCACTGGCAACTATTGATTTCCCATAATGATTGAGTAGAAACAGGAAAAGGTATAGGTAAAATTTTCATGAGAGATTCCAGATTTAAACCTGGACCATTACATATGTATCATGTACCCTGGCCCTCTCAAAATGTCATTTAGCAATTTTTATATGTTATTGCAAAAATGCTGCTTAATAATGTTTGAAAAATAAGTTAGAGCAATTCATATTTAGAGACAAGTTAGATCATTTCTCAGAAAATTTATTTTAAAAAAATCTTGATACTGAATACTATTTGTGGATGTAATTATGCCTGAAAAAAAGATATTTTTCTTTTCACTTTCTAACCTTATTTTAAAAGTCAGAGAGTGACCTTTCCAATTAAACTGATTTTATAGAAATTGGTAATTATGGCTATCTTTCTCTTGAGAAATGAGACAACATTGACTTGGGTTTTTTGCCTGTTTTGACAGCATAGAAAAGAATTGGCATTTTCTAGCGATGACCTTCCCCTCACTTTTCCCCCCTCTCATTTTAGTTTGTTGCCATATTCATTCCATCCTCTGGTTGCTAAGAAATGCATTGACAGCAGAGTGAATTTGGTGACCGCGAGTTACCTAACTCCTGAAATGAAAGAGCTACAAAAAAGGTATGAGCATGTTTGAGTACTTGGCGTCCTCTGCAGATTTCTCAACATCATTTTTGAAGCTGAATATAAGTTTAAGTCAGGAAAATGACTTAAATGTGGATTATCTCCAGCCACAGAAATTTGCCATTTTAATCAGTATATCAAAATCCAGCATGGCTAAGTCACAACGTTGCCCCCACCTTGTGACAAACATACAAATGGGGCAAGGTTTATGACAGCTCTGCAGTGCTGCTAACTGACAACAGTCTGGCTGGTCTTCACCTCCCCTTCAGATGTCACTTCCTCCAGCAAGAATGGATAGCTAGCCAGGTTTTTTTCCCTCAAAATCCTTTGCAAACCATTGCTGGATCACCTTGCTTAAGAAATACGAACAGCCTTTTGGTGGTAACACTTAGCTGAGGATGAGACAAAACAGGCTAGATGATGTCATGCCTCTATATTCTGGGCTTCCCAGCCGTCCATCCCCAAGTTTTTGCTTTGTTTTATAAGCTATTAAACATGTTGTAGGCACATGAAATAACTTTTTTTCAATTTTCCCACCTCATTGGGAACTCATGCCAATGGCTTTTGGCAATTATAATAGGAAGATACACTAGATAGATAGATAGATAGATAGATAGATAGATAGATAGATAGATAGATAGATAGATAGATAGATAGACAGACTATAGATAGACAGACAGACAGACAGACACGGAAGGAAGGAAGAGGAAGGGAAGAAAGGAAAGAAAGAAAAAAGAGGGAGACATAGAGAAGGAAGGAGGGAAGTTCAAAGACTACATATGACCTATCATATTTTTCTGTGTATAAGATGCTATTTTTTCCTGCAAAGTTCAAAAATCAGATGTGTCTTATACAAATGCAGCATCTTATACACGGAAAAATAATGGTAACCTCCGCAGACCAGGACATGCCTATGTGGGTTGCCATGCCACCTGGTGCAGGTATCAAGCCCCTATGGGCTTGCCACTAACGGGTGGGGGCAAGATTGTCGGCCGATCGAACTTCTGGATTTGCCAGCTTAGCTGTTTGGTGCTCCGCTGATCGGCATGGAGAAACTCACATACCAGAGCGTCTTATACAAGGGTGTGTCTTATAGACGGAAAAAATATGGTACATATGAATTGAAAGTTGGGTACCCCTCTTTGAAGAAAAGTTACCTAAGTTAAAAACTGGTTTTTCCTCATAATTGCTTATGTGTAGAAAGCACATGTATACCAGTATAGCCTACTCACTGAAGGAAACAAGTGTGGCCCATTCTACTCACTGCAGAGATACTGTATTTGAAAACAATTTGAAATACAATTAATTGTACATACCCACCTGCTAGAGCAGTGTCTTTCAACCTTGGCCTCTTTAAGACATACAAGCTTCAATACTCAGATTTCCTCGGCCAGGATGGGTTTCAATTCTGGATGTTGAAATCCACACTTCTTAACAATTGCAAGTTGAAAAGCTTTGTGTTAGAGGATGGTTTGGGAGCTACTGAGTTCAATCAGCAGGGGAATATATAGGTAGTCCTCGACTTATGATCACAATTGAACCCAACATTTATGTTGCTAAGTGAGAAAGTTAAGTAAGTTTTGCCCTCTTTAGGACCTTTCTTGTCACAATTGTTAAGTGAATCACTACAGTTGTTAAGTTAGTAACACAGTTGTTAAGTGAATCTGGTCTCCCCATTGACTTTGCTTGTCAGAAAGTTGCAAAAGGTGATCACATGACCCCAGGACACTGCAATTGTCATAAATATAAACCAGTTGCCAAGCATCCAGATTTTGATCACTTGACCATGTAGATGCTGCAATGGTGTTAAATGTGAAAAATGGTTGTAAGTTACTTTTTTCAGTGCTGTTGTAACTTCAAATGGTCACTAAATGAATGGTTGTAAGTAGAGGGCTACCTGTACTTTGTAGAGATACCTTGCTGTTTCCTTTCACCTGACAGCTTTCCTTGTATTATAGCACAGAGGCAGCTGGCATTACCATTATCAGTGAAGTGGGTTTGGATCCTGGCCTCGATCATATGTTGGCAATGGAATGTATTGATAAAGCAAAAGAAGTGGGTGCTACGGTAAGCTCAACTGAAAAAAGAACCCAAGTCATAGCCCATGCTCCTTGTCCCCAGTTTTGTTTTTATCCTCCTCTTCCTCCTTAAAAAAATAAATAAAAGCTTTCCTCTTTTCTTTGCTTTTTCTATGAAGCATCAGCTTTTACCACATGCAAAGACAAAATGGGAAAGACAAATTCTGATGAATCTTAAATTTTGAATTTCACTTGAGAAAAGCAAGTCCATACGCTCAGAATACATTTGAAATTAATCATGATTAATTCCCACAGAAACCAATAATATGCAGCTGCTGTAATTTTAATAAATTTATAATAAATCCCATCATTTTCAGAGGGGTGTATAGTAGAATCTTGTTCATGTCTACCCATTTCTTTTTATTATATATAGATTTTATTAGTTTTTATAGGATTATGGATAAGGTGGGGACAGGATTAGGATTGGGGTTTGGGTTAGGGTTGGGGTTGGAATTGTGGTTGGGGTTGAATCCTGTTCATGTCTACCCATTTCTTTTTCTGAAGCTCATAGACAGCTATAGGATTGCCATGAACTCACTGTGTGATTGGTTTGTGCTTAGAATTTGTAGGTTTATATGAATAGATCCTAAGTTAATTTTTAATTTTTTGTTACTAGATATTATAAAAGTTAAATGAATGAATTTCTAAAGAAAACTGTATAAATGTCTTAGATGCCTTTCTGCAGAATACTGTAAAACTAGATTAATTAGAAATATAGAGTTAGGCCATGTTAAATAAATTCAGAATCTCTATTGGATAAACTAACCGAATTTAAATTGAGATCTTTATTTGCATCCACTCCAGGTGATATCCTACACTTCCTTCTGTGGAGGCTTGCCTGCTCCTGAATATTCTGACAACCCCCTGAGATATAAATTTAGCTGGAGTCCACAGGGAGTCCTACTAAACACAGTTAAATCTGCAACCTATTTAAAAAATGGAGAGGTGACGTAATTTCTCTTTAAAAATATATACATTTGTATGTTTGAGTGCCAGCTGGCTTCATACCTCTAAGGCAGGACCAGAACTCCTGGTTTCTAGCTTTCTGATTTTAACCATTGTACCAAACTGGTTTCCATGTGTATACATATATATATGTTAAAATGAAAAGTGGCTTATAGCTGTGTCAGATTGAGGAGTTTTGAAAACTGCTGATATGAACAAAGTTAGTTCTTAATGCAACATTTTCAATTTAAGTTAGGCAGAGGCAGATACAACTGAGCCAATCAAAAGACAGCCATTTTCATATCACTACCCTTTCCAGAGTTTTCTTTCCCATCTCATCCATGGCTAAAGGAAATGTAGCCTTAGTTGCCAGTCACCTGTTCTATTAACTAAATTGGCTAGTTCCTCACTGTTGGAATAATCAGTGGACAATACAGTGATATCTTCCTTGATCACCTAACCACATAACAGTTAGGTGATCAAGGAAGATATCACTCTATGGGAGAGATAAATTTGATAAATAATAAAGCAAGAAGAGTCTTTATGTTGCTATAACTGGAAACTGTTTTAAAGAAAATCAAAACATTGATGAGCTACCAGCAAGGAAGGGGAAAACCCACTTTCTCCTAATTCTGAATAGTAACCTTGGCTTTTAGGGCATAAATCAGTAAGACCAGTAAGATTTGTGGCAGTGTCAAAACTTGTCTTAAGAAGTTCCTGTTAAGGGAATGCAGACTCTGTGTGTAATGTAGCACACTGAAGGTCTTGGGAAAAAAACAGAGAAATTAGGACAGAGCAGAGACCTGAAAGGAAGTGGCCATAAATAAGACTTGGGAGAGATGTTCAACTTTCATAATTGTGGGAGACAGGCATTTTTAAAGAGGAGCTTAAAAGTTTGGCGGGCCCTGTCCTCAAATATAGTACACTTACATGATTGTTATTTTTCATAATCCTTAGATTATTAATATTCCAGCCGGAGGAGCTTTGCTTGATTCTGTTACTGTCATGGATTTTTTCCCAGGATTAAATTTGGAAGGTTTTCCAAACAGGGATAGTACAAAATATGCTGAACCTTACGGTATTCAATCAGCTCACACTCTTTTAAGAGGAACATTAAGGTACAAGGTAGGTACATTTGCCATTATAGAAGTGTGATTGATCATAGAGAGAGCATGGGCACCCACAGGGGAGGAGGGAAATGGCAGCATGGATGTCATGACTCAAGCCACATGGATTATGTATTTGCATGGGATAGGGAACAAAAGGGTGAAAAGCTGGGCTTTTGTGTTGTGATATCATAATGCACACATCATTTTTGCATCATTGTGGTTTGTAATAAATACATGCCTGTGTTAGGGAGCTGAAGGTACTGTATGTTTGTACCAGTTAAAATATTAGTTAATTGCTCTTTGGTTTTTAGTTCTGGAACAGGAGGCATTTTTTAAATAGCCCCTGCTTTATACACAGTAGTCCACAACTTGCAACCATTCATTTAGTAACTGTTGCACTGAAAAAAGTGACTTGCAGTGAGGGAAAAAAATACTTGATTCCCTGCTGATTTTGTACATCTGCCTACTGATAAAAAAATGATCAGTCTATAATTTTAATGGTAGGTTTATTTTAACAGTGAGACAGAATAACAACAAAAAAAATCAAGAAAAACGCATTTCAAAAGTTATAAATTGATTTACATTTTAATAAGTGAAATAAGTATTTGATCCCCTATCAATCAGCAAGATTTCTGGCTCCCAGGTGACTTTTATACAGGTAACAAGCAGAGATTAGGAACACACTCTTAAAGGGAGTGCTCCTAATCTCAGCTTGTTACCTGTATAAAAGATACCTGTCCACAGAAGCAATCAATCAATCAATCAATCAATCAATCAATCAATCAATCAGATTCCAAACTCTCCACCATGGCCAAAACCAAAGAGCTGTCCAAGGATGTCAGGGACAAGATTGTAGACCTTCACAAGGCTGGAATGGGCTACAAGACTATTGCCAAGCAGCTTGGTGAGAAGGTGACAATAATTGGTGTGATTATTCGCAAATGGAAGAACACAAAATAACTGTCAGTCTCCCTCAGTCTGGGGCTCCATGCAAGATCTCACCTCGTGGAGTTTTAATGATCATGAGAACTGTGAGGAATCAGCCCAGAATTATACGGGAGGATCTTGTCAATGATCTCAAGGCAGCTGGGACCATAGTCACCAAGAAAACAAGTGGTAACACACTACGCCGTGAAGGACTGAAATCCTACAGTGCCCGCAAGATCCCCCTGCTTAAAGCTTTGCTATGGCTAATTGATATAAGTAGTAATGGGCTGGATGAATGAGTGATTTGGAAAAAAAACCCCCTATATTTTATTTATATAATAGCCTTTGTCGTACTAGATTTTATGATGATACAAATGCTAGAATTTATACAACTATTGTTCCAGCATAAATGAGTGCACAATTTTCAGATTTCTGACAAATAGCCTGTTGGAAAAGTTGAAAAATCATTCAGTGGTATTCCAATATTGTCATGAGCTGTTTTCATGCTTATTAGGTTAGCAGGTCTGAAGGTTTGTGTCATTTCCTAATCCTTTCCATTTGTCTTTTCCAGGGTTATTGTAAAGCTATAGAAGGTTTTGTGAAATTGGGATTAATAAATCCAGAACCATGCCCTATGCTTAGTGCAACTACACCTTCTGTAAAATGGGTAAGTACTCTTACACCTGTTCCAAATGAGAGAAATAGAATTGAGGTTGGTATGATAATCAACTAGTTCCTGTAAATTTAGTACGTTTACAAAATGTAATGTTTTAAATTAGTGAAAATAAGAGCCAACCTGTAAAATCATTTTCTCTTGAGAGATTCTGGACACAAAGGCCACCATTGTTGAAGATTTTTTTTACAAAGTTAAAATTACAGAAAAAGTAAAAAGAACATAGAAGAGAGAAAAAGATATAAAAAGTAAAATAGAAGAAAAATGTACAGTATCAAGAAAAGAGAAACAAAAAAAGCAACTCCAATCTTTGCAGAGGTTGCAAGCATAATTAATTCCCCAAATTATATAACATAGTTTCCTTCTTCCCATCTATAATCCCCTTTAATCAATAAGTCCAGAGATCACTTTTTAACAAAAAGTTCATAAAGGATTTCTAGTTTTTTATAAAAGTAGTTATTGCTCCTTCCCTAGTCAAATAAGTCAATTTAGCAATTTCTCCACATTCTGCCATCTTCCTGATCCACTCTTCCATTGTGGATATTTGTATATTTTTCCATCTTTGTGCATATAATAGCCTCACTGCAGTTCCCATATATAAAACCAAAACTTTCATAAGTCTTTTCTAGTTGTCTGTCTTTAAGTCCTATTAGGAAAAATTCTGGTTTTAGGTGAATATTAATTTTTAAAATTCTCTGCATCATCATATGTATTTGTACCCAGCTTTTTAAAAAACTTTTTCACAAAGTTAGCAAATATGATAAAATGGCCGTTCATGGCAAACAAAGTCATTACTAAAAGCCAACACGGGTTTGTCAAAAACAGTTCATGCCAGACAAATCTTATTGCATTATTTGACCAAGTGACAAAATTAGTGGATCAGAGGAATGCTGTGGATATAATTTACTTAGACTTCAGTAAGGCATTTGACAAAGTAGACCACAACCTACTACTTCAGTGGTTCTCAACCTTTTTAATGCCGCGACCCCCAACCGGTCATAAGTCAAGGACTACTGAACTGGTCATAAGTCGAGGACTTTCCCTGCCCGGGAGTGCCACGCATGCGTGGTGCCGCCCCCTGCGCCGGCCGAGGCGTAGCTGGCAAGCGGCAGAGATGGTGCAGGGGCCACCAGCTGGCCCAGCCCAAGGGAGGTAAGGCACTTGCTGGGCCCCACACGTGCCAGCAACCCTCCCTGCGCCTGCCGGCCTCCCACCTCCCACCCCTGGCCCTCTTTTACTTACATTTTTAGTAGTTGCTCAGCAGGGAGGGGTGGAAACTTCCAGACAGCTCGCCTTCGCTGCAGACAACTTGCAGCACCGTTTGCAGAATGGGACTTTTGGCGGGCTCAGCAGGGCAGAGACAGCCTGGACAATTCCTATTGGCTTTTGAAAGCCAATAGAATTAGACTCTATTCAAGAGAGTCTATTCTATTGGCTTTCAAAAGCCAATAGAATAAAAGGGAATAGCACAGCTAAGGAAAAGGGGAAAAAATGGCGGACTACATTGTTTGACGACTCCCGTGAAATGGTCGTTCGACCCCAAATGGGGTCCCAACCCACAGGTTGAGAACCGCTGTACTACTTGATAAGATAGAAAAATGTGGGTTAGACAGCATCACCACCAGATGGATCCGTAGCTGGCTGACTGGCCGTACTCAGCGTGTGGTCCTCAATGGAACAACATCTACATGGAAGGAAATGTGTAGTGGGGTGCCCAAGGGTCTGTTCTGGGCCCAATGCTCTTCAACATCTTCATCAATGATCTGGATGAGGGGATAGATGGGGAACTCATCAAATTTGCAGACAGCACCAAGCTGTCATGAATAGCCAACACTCCAGAAGACAGGCTTAGGATACAGGAGGATCTGAACAGACTTGAACACTGGGTGCTATCTAACAAAATGAAATTCAATGGTGAAAAAAGTAAGGTTCTACATTTAGGCAAGAAAAAACAAATGCACAGGTATAGTATAGGGGGTACCTTGCTCAATAGTAGTAACTGTGAGAGGGATCTTGGGGCCCTAGTGGACAATCATTTAAATATGAGCCAGCAGTGTGCTGCAGCTGCCAAAAAAGCCAACACAGTGCTAGGCTGCATTAACAGAGGGATAGAATCAAGATCACACGAAGTATTTATACCACTTTACAATGCCTTGGTAAGGCCACACTTGGAATACTGCATCCAGTTTTGGTCACCACGATGTAAAAAAGATGTTGAGACTCTTTAGAGTACAGAGAAGAGCAACAAAGATGATTAGGGGACTGGAGGCTAAAACATATAAGGAACCGTTGCTGGAATTGGGTATGTCTAGTTTAATGAAGAGAAGGACGAGGGGGGACATGATAGCTGTGTTCCAGTATCTCAGGGGCTACCACAAAGAAGAGGGAGTCAAGCTATTTTCCAAAGCGCCTGAAAGCAGGACAAGAAGCAACGGGTGGAAGCTAACCAAAGAGAGAAGCAACCTAGAACTAAGGAGAAACTTCGTTTTTTTTTAATTATAAATTTTTACAATTTTACAATAAAATCCCTCACCCACTCCCTCCCAGCCCCCCCCAGAACCCCCTCCCCCTTCTTCCCAGAGCTGAATACAGGGTTAACTAGAATTAAAAAAAAAACCATTTAAACTTAAATACAATTCAAACAAATATAACTACATTCAAAAAAGAAATTTTTGAATACTTTAACTCCAATATATATAAAAAAGAAGAAAGAAAAAGAAGAAAAAAAGACAAAACAAGTCTACATTTCTAATCATTATCTTAAACTTTAAATATAATTATTCAAAAGCTAAATAATATTTTCTAATATCATACTTATACTGTATAAAGTTTATCCATTTTTTCCACACCAATAAATATTTCTCTTGCATTTGATCTTTCAAATAAGCTGAAATTTTTGCCATTTCAGATAAATAAGAAACTTTAAAAAACCATTCCTCCAAAGTCGGCAAAAATTCCTTCTTCCAATATTGTCCTATCAACAACCTTGCCGCTGTAATTAAGTTTAACATTAAAATAATTTCTTTATCATCACAATCAGATACAATACCTAACAAAAACAATTGTGGAGTAAATTTTATCCTTCTATTAAATTTTTTTGAATATTCCACCATATCTTAATCCAAAAAACTTTTATACTTTTACATGACCACCAAATATGATAATACGTTGCATCCAGACAGCCACATCTCCAACATTTAGGTTGCAAATTTGAGTACATACGAGACATCTTTTGTGGATCAAGGTGCCATCTATAAAACATTTTATAAAAATTTTCCCATAAGTTTTGAGCTTGCGTGAATTTAACATTCCTCACCCAAATTGTCTCCCATGTATCTAATAAAATCGGTTCTTCAAAATTTTGAGCCCATTTAACCATGCAATCTTTAACTAATTCTGTTTCTGAATCCAATTCCACTAATACACCATAAATTCTTTTTATATGAGTTCGACTTTGATCTTTAATTTGTTTCAACAAATTCTCATCCTCTTTAATCAAACCCACTTTATAATCTATCTTCCACCTTTCCAATAATTGTCTGTACTGAAACCACGAGTAATTAATATTTTCTTGTGCTAATTCATCTATAAGTTTTAATTGCCAATTTTTCCCGTCCCAATTAAGTAATTGTTTATAAGAGATACTATCCATGAGAAACTTCCTGACAGTTAGAACAATTAAGTGAAGCAACCTGCCTCCAGAAGCGGTGAATGCTCCAACACTGGAAGTTTTTAAGAAGAAACTGGACATCTATTTGTCCAAAATGGTATAGAGGTTCCTGCCTGAGCAGGGGGTTGTACTAGATGACCTCCAAGGTCCCTTCCAACTTTATCATCATCATCATCATCATCATCATCATCATCACCATCATCATCATCACCATCATCATCATTATTATTATCATTATCATTATTATTATGTTCTTGGCCTTTCCAACAACAATTAGTGATATCTATCTATCTATCTATCTATCTATCTATCTATCTATCTATCTATCTATCTATCTATCTATCTATCTATCTATCTATCTATAGATATAGTGATATATATAGATATAGATATAGTGATATATATATATATATATAGTGATATATATACAGTGAATCCAATTAAAGAATTACTTTGAGGAAAGAGGGACAGCCTATACATTTTATAAATAAATAAATAAATAAATGAAGAGAGGGAGGGAGAGAGAGAGAGGGATGGGCTGGAAGGAGCCAAATGTTGGACTTGTTGGTCTGAATGATTTCCCAAAGTTCTGTAATTCAAGCATTACAGATGGCAAACAGCCATAAATGGCATCAATATTGTTGAATATATGTCATAAAATCTCTCTAGTAATATATACCTACAGTATATCATTTTATAATCAAAATCTCTCTTATATTATAAGACAGTATAAATTTCACTTCTTTTAACCACATTCTTTCTCACTGGTCAATCTGTATGTTGTAATATGTTCTTAGTTCATGTTATCATGCACTTTTTAGCTCATCTTATATTTCATAATTCAACAGTCATTTATTTATACATTTCAGCAATTACATGTTCATCATTTGTTCTGTACCTTGTAGCTTTTTATCTATATTCAACTTCTCCCTTAATTGTGCATACGGAAACCATTAAAAAACAAATCCTTCTATGGCAGGGGTGAGCAACTATGGCCCTTTTACAACCTGTGGACTTCAACTCCAAGAATTACTGAGCCAAAATTCCAAAAGTCTACAGGTCAGAGGTGCCCACCCCTGTTCTATAGTCAGTTCTCATGATTGCAAATTCTCAATTTTCCTGTATTAACAAATCTTGATATTTTACCCATTTTTCCTTGCCTGCTGTTTCTTTTTTATATATATTTTTCTGCATTTTTTAAGACTGTGTACCTTGGTTTTCAGAATTTCAATCATTTTTCTTAAACTGTTTGTATTTAGAAAGAACTAATGTGTAAGTTGCTTGGACTTCAGTCTTCTGTCAAATATGATGAACTCCAACAGGCTGTCTACAATCATCTGAACGAGAATAAAAAACAGTTGGAAGCAGTGGAATGGTAGGAGGAAATTGTAGGATTTCCTCTCTTTTTTTCTCCACTTCTAGCATTCAGATGTTTCATATATGGGACTGTTATAATGTTTTTCTTTAAAATGTGCCTCAATCATGTTTGTCTTGAAATGTTTAGCTCAGTGAATAAATCGGTACTTGGATTTGCTTGCAAGATTACTGGCAGAGGTTAATTTATTGTTGTTTTTTTAGCTGCTAGCCCTCAAATACCCATAAGAAGAGTGTAATACTGTTTAGAACAAAAGTAACCTTATTAGTGAGACTAATTATAGAGAGAACAAAAGACAAGTACTGATTTAAAAGTATCAACAATATTCTGATTTTTGCTAAATAGGCTCAATATAGAATGCTTTACTGAAGATCACAAATCGTATGACTGAGGGAATGTAGGAGGGAGGGACACATTCCAGAGGAGTAAGAAGCAACTCAGCCTTCATTTTATGTGAGAGAGGAAGTGGGTGAAGACAGCCCCGCCATTATAGTTCACATAGTAAATTGCAGATACAGATACTAAAGCCCTCATCTGGCAGGATTATGTTTATAAATGTGAAAACAACAACTCATCTTCATTTTAGGCCTGATATCAACAGAAAAGTTTGTTTCCCCCCAAAAAAACCATAGCTTATACCAAGGCACAAAAGTTCTCTTAGACTTGATGCTTAATCATTAGGGCAGAGAATTGCCCCCTAAGAAATGGAAAAACTAAGACTTCCCTGCTACATATCTTATTTATACTATTTCTTCATAGAGTTCCTTCTCTGCACAGCAAATGTACACAAGGAGACTAAAAGCATGGTAGCAACCTGAAACCCCCTGAAAGAAATACTTCTGTATAGCTGTTCATCTGTCATTTATGTCAGAGTACCAAATTGGTGTACACCTCATAAATATATGGGGTGAACTCAGAGAGAGGCTTAATATTATACAAGTAGTCCTTGACCTATGACCATAATTGAGCTCAAAATTTATGTTGTTAAGGGCAGGGCAGTTGTTAAGTGAGTTTTGCCCCATTTTGTGACCTTGCTGTTAAGTGAATCATGCAGTCTTTAAGTGAATCTATCTTCCCCCATTGATTTTGCTTGTCAGAAGCTGGCCGGGAAGGTTACAAATGGTGATCATATGACCCTGGGACAGTGCAACTTTCATAGATATATGCCAGTTGCCATGTGTCCAAATTTGGATCATGTGACCATGGGGATGCTCATATGTGAAAAGTGGTTAGTCACTTTTTTCAATGTCATTGTAACTTCAATGGTCACTAAACAAATGGTTATAAGTCGAAGGCTACTATAATTTTGCCTGTCAGTTATTCCTGTGCAGAATGTGAAATTCGTACATCTTTGTAAATCTTATATGTACTTAGCAGAGTATAGATTTTCAGGCTTCTTTTCCCAGTTTGATGTTTTAGGGTGTGAATTTTTAATAAGAAAATTGTTTCCGAAATTTGTGTAAGTTCAGGTTACATAGCCTACCTACGTCCATGAAAATATAATTTTCAGAGTGGCAGTAATGATACTTGTTCAGATATGGATAGAATAAAAAAAACCAGCTCAAGTGCTTTATCTTCTGCCCTTTACACCTGTAGATCAAACTCTGCTGCACAGGGGAAAAGTCTTCTTGTTGTTCTTGGCATTACCTGTTTTTATCTGCCTTTCAGGCTGGGGTTACTTGGAGATGAACCTGTTCCAACAGCACATAGTATAGTGGATGCATTGGCCAAACACATGGAAGCAAAGCTCTCGTATGGTAGGCGATATGCTCTTCACCCATAGTTTTATTTTCCAATGTAGTCCTCAATTTATGACTGTAATTGAGCCAGGAATTATGGTCTTAAGTCATTGCAGTCATTAAGGGAGTCAATAGGTGATTGTCTGATTTTCCAATCATTTTTTGTGGCAGTCATTAAGCAAATGCTGCAGTTGTTAAGTGTGGTGGTCTCCCATGGAGAATGAGACACGCACGCAGGTATCTCGGGATGGGAGCCCAGAGCTGACTCCAACACCCTATTTTATTGTTACTATAGTTTTTACATCACACAGCGTAATCAAAAGACGTATATAGGGGTGGTTACAATGTATCACATAACAGACACTCTCCAGATGCAAGGCTATGCAGGTGTTCTTATCAGACCCTGTCCAAATGGTTGATGAATGTATTCTGTGTCTGGAGCAGTCGTTTGTTATCTCAAGGACTTTGTGGGAGCATGTCTATGGGCATATTTGTGCAATTAATCCCACATCTCCTCGTTTTGTGTTTTTTTAATGTTACTCACTTCCAGTTCCAGAAGGGATTTTGATTCACTGATTAAGGCGTCCTTCCTAGTGGAGGGCGTAACATTTTTGCACATTTGCAGGAGGGAGGGAATACATTGATTGCAACAACATAGCAATACAATTAATATCAAAATGGTTACTATAATAGAAATCAAAGATCGTAGCCAGGATCCATCCGGTAGCCAGGACCAAAGGGCACCCCAAATATCCACGGTGCCTGATCCATCGCTGCGTAAGGGATTATTTTGGATCATAATTTCCATTTTCCTTGCTGTAGCAGAAATATTAGGTTGAAAATCATGTATATACATACAACAATGAGAATGAATTAAAGCACATACACCACCTTTTGCTGCTAAAATAATATCTAAAGCATACCGATTTTGCAAAACTACTTCCCTTATTTCCCCCATTTCTTGATTAATCATTTTAATGCTGTTGATTGTTTCATTAAACATATAAACAGTCCAATTGTTAAGCAAATGAAGGTCCCTATAGTTCATGGCAACTCCTAGATTGGGTAGTATTCCTCTGCTGATTTGAGTCTCTAAACTACCACCCAATGTTAGGGGTGGATCCAAGGAGCCAGTATCACGTTTGTTCCGCAGGCGTCCATCAGGGAAATGAGGCAAGGCATATACAGCAGGGGTCAAAAGGCCCAGTGTACAGGTGTCTTTCCAATCCTTAGGCACCTGGCGATAGGCTCTACGGCCACATAGTAGCCACATATCGGGTAACTCATAATAACCCTGGTGAGACTCATTAGCAAATGTTATTATGGATTCCATGTCAAGGCAAGCCATGTAGGTACTGATGTTTGTCCATTGATTGCTTCGATAAGTGTTGTTTATCTTAGTAAGGTTGCTTTTGATGGATTTGCATTTCTTTGCTAAATTCCATATAATAACTTGTTGACAATTATTATAATTTCCCAAATAAGTGGCAGTACGGAATAGTCCTGTGCTATAAAAACAAAATCTGGCAGGTTCCATTATACGAGCGCCCACAGCATATGTCATATTCAAAGTTTCTGTAGTTATGTTCCACAGCTGCTTCCATCCTGTTTCATTGAACGGGATGGCATGGAAAATGAGGTCACCACGACTGTCACCAGGAATTTGCATGCAAATCCAACAGTTCGTGATGTTAAGTGTAAGAGCAGTGCGCCTGGCATCCCGTACAAAAGCATTAAAGGCCCACAGTCCCTGATCCTCATATGCCTGGCTGAGGTGGTGTACGTTGAGCCATATAAGGACGAACACAACGAGCTGGAGTCCAAATGATCTCGCCATGGTCGTCTATTGCAGCGTAGCCTCTACCCCAGGTAATGAGGGAGGCAGGCACTTTCCAGGTGGGATCAGGCAAACGTCGATAGTATACCTGGGGGCGTGAAGAATCTGTGGAAGAAGCAGAAAAATGCCTGCTTGCGGCAGTTGAGCCAGGGGTGCCAGAAACATTCAAAAGGTTTAAGGTAAAAAGTACAAGATTAATGGGTGAAGGAGGCATTATTAGTCTTCCAGAGTTAACTTCGCATTAAATTGAGAGAGTAAATCTCTGCCCCATAATTTGTGTGAAGAGGGAGGACGACAGGTTTAAATTTAGCAGAAATGCCTTTTGTGATTCGTTGTGCAGTAAGCCAATTTTTACTGGAGCTTGCTTGTTAAAGTCCTCCCACTCCCCTGACTGCCGGTGAGGATTCGAGGGGCCAGTTAGAGGGCCATTCAGCTGTTCTTATGACTGAGACATCCGCACCAGAGTCTACAAAACCAGAGAAGAGAATGCCATTGATTAAAAAAGGCATCACCAGTTTTTGGGGAGTAATTTGCTTTGTTAGTGCTAATAAATCAGAGGAAGAATTCCCAGAGTGAGGTGCATATGCAGCCTCTGGAATGGATGGTGCTGCACGTGGTAATAAAACCAAGCGTGCCAGCGTATCCCCCCGGTTCATTGTGACAGGGAGATTGGTATAAAATTGGACTTTTAGGGTGTCTCTATACGTGGGATCTATCATACCTGGAAGTACAAACACTCCTTGTTCCCGAGCAACAGGTGTGGGAAGGATTATTCCCTCTGTTTCCGGAGGCAAGGGTCCAGAATAAAGGGTTTCAGCAACCGTAAGTAGATTAGGAAAAGTAATAGAAAGATCAGAAGCCAATTTTAAATCAATGCCAGAAAAATATTGCGAAGCAGAAGGAGGAGTAAAGTCTGAAAAGGATGCAGCCTTTGGAGAGGGGTTAGCTGCAGACCCCTCTGTTAGTTTCCCCGATTGGACTGAGAGGAACGGCACTGATTGGCCCAATGAAAACCCTTTTTACATTTTGGGCACACAGTTTTGGGCTTGGCTCCGGGGATGGCAGCGGGTCGAGCCGCGCCGCCTCCTGGGGCTCTGCATTGCTTTTTAAAATGACCAGGTTTTCCACAATTGAAGCAAGTGCCTTGGGGTTGATTTCTCTTTTGGATTGCAGCTGCAAGAGTGTCCATTTGGTTCCCACAATGCGACAGGCTTTAAGAAAGTCTGCTAGAGTGTCCGTGGGACTGGAAACAAGTGGTTTAAGAATGGACTGGCAGTCCGCATTTGCATGTTCATAAGCCAATTTTATGAGGATTTCATTTGCTGCATCTCTGTTTGAAATTTGACGCTCAATGGCAACTTGCAGGCGATTCACAAAGTCTGCATAGGATTCAGTCGCAGTTTGGCGAATGGCAGAAAAAGATTGAATCGGGGTGCCAGACTCATCAACACGAGCCATGGCAGAAAGAACACAAATATTAATGATCGGAAATGCAAAGGGGGTGAAAGTTTGAGCCTGAGCATTAAGGGTAGCAAAATTGCCTTCTCCGAAGAGTTGTTCCGCTGTCCATTGTGAACCTGGGTGATTAGCTCTCTTTTGTGCCTCTCTTTTATATTCAGATTCAAAAACTACATATTGCGTTTCGTTAAGAAGCATGCGGAACAGATCTTTCCAATCTTGAGGCAACATTCAATATGCACTAGCAACTGAGTGTATCAGTCCTCTAGTATAGGGACTGGTTATGCCATAATCTTTTGTAGCCTTTTTCAATTCTCGGATCATAGCCAGGGGAAGTGCTTCCCAATCAACCACTATGCCTGCTGCGATCTGTTGATAAGTAACAGGGAACAACTCTGTCTCGGATAGTTCAGAAACGCTCAAGTCACCATTGTTCAAAGCTTTTTGAAAGGCACCACGGATGATTCCGGGCCGGGAGACAGGCGGCAAGTGGCAGGAACAGGAGAGGCTGTTTGTTGTTTATCAGGATCCATAGAATTTGCAGGGGCAGAAGGAGGGTTAAAACCTGCTCCAGGTGGTAAGGGAGTGGCCAACATAACAGATGGACTTTTGTACGATGGAGGATCTAATAAAGGCTGATGAGGCGAGTCAGCATGGGTTTGAATCAGGGTATAGGCAATTTTCCAAAGGCACAAAATCTCTGGGGGGGCTCTCGGAGACTGATGGAGGACGGCGCCGATTTTCCTCCATGTATCTACTTTTAAACATCCAGAGTCCGGATAGGATGAGCAGTTAGCCCATATGTAAGCAAGCAATTTAACAGCCTCAGATTTAGAAAGGTGACGGGTTAATTTCTGTTCCTGATCAGTAAGATATTTTTTCCTGCCAAGTAGCCTCAGCTCTTCCACATGCTGCTTTTGAGCGTGAGACATTCCACCCCCCATACTTATGAAGAGGAGTCAGTTGCTAGCAACTTCGTCGGGTGCACCAAGCCTATTCCAGGCGATAAGTAAAGGGTCGGCAGGGACGTATCCCTCAGTGGATCACGTCGGGGTCACCAGATGTGGTGGTCTCCCATGGAGAATGAGACACGCACGCAGGTATCTCAGGATGGGAGCCCAGAGCTGACTCCAACACCCTATTTTATTGTTACTATAGTTTTTACATCACACAGCGTAATCAAAAGATGTATATAGGGGTGGTTACAATATATCACATAACAGACACTCTCCAGATGCAAGGCTATGCAGGTGTTCTTATCAGACCCTGTCCAAATGGTTGATAAATATATTCTGTGTCTGGAGCAGTCCGTTTGTTATTTCAAGGACTTTGTGGGAGCATGTCTATGGGCATATTTGTGCAATTAATCCCACAATTAAGTGTATCCATTTTACCCAATGAATATTTTTGGGTGGAATCTGGAAGTTAATAAAAAGGAGGGAAATACCAGATGGATTCATCCAACCTGTCCTAATTAATGTCAAGGGAACAGCCGAGCATTGAGATGGTCAGACATTCAAATAATATAGTACAGATAGTCCTCACTTAACAGTGCTAATTGGGACTTGAAAATCTGTTGTTAATCAGCACGGTTGTGTCAGCCGTCCCAGGTTTGTTTATTCATGTCAGAAGCATCACAATTAAAATAAGGCATATATGACATAAAATATAAAATATAAAATACAAGATTAAAATATGTATAAATTAAACAGATCTTGTCTAGAAACTAGCAACATTAATTGTGTTCTGTCACGCTGCCATGAGGTCCTCAAGTGTACATTGATCGGGGAACAAAGGATAGGTATAGATATGCATTATCATTTGCATGTTGCCAGAATTGCAAAGAACAGAAGCCATCGGAGAGCCCCATTTGTTCAGAGTGTCTCTGGATCTTGTTATACCTGCAGAATGATTTCCATACTTCCCAGCTTTCATCAGACTCAGGTGCCAGCTCCTCTATAGGTTCATCCAGTGTAGGTTCTTTGTAGCTTTCCATAGATCCACTCTGCTTTTAAATTCTTCAATCTTCCATCGACCTAAGGAAGCTTTTTTTGGATTTTAATCTCGGCTGAACTGCTTATAGGCCATAGAGTGGGTGTCTAGATAATGAGGATTTGAGTCTCTCTGTAATGCTGCTGCTTCTCTGTGAACAGCAGGCAAGGCAATGTCAGCTAGGTGGTAGATCTTATCTAGAGGGGTAGTTTTAAGGCATTTGGTGAGAAGCAAAATGTCTTCAAGGAAAAAAGTCCAGTTGCCTTTTGAAAAAGCATTTTTTGGGATGGCAATAACCTGGATGACTGGAAATCCTTATAGGCATTCAGTAATAATTCTGCTACCTTTATTCAGAGCAACTTTCCCAGCATCTGCTGATTTATTTATACTAGACTGGGCAAAATGTTGTTCAACCTCCTCAAATGTTTTTTTCCTGTATAGGAATCACATGACCTTTTTAAATAGAGAAGCAAATCTTTAGTATGATTAGGGTGGGAGTTAAACTGCTGGTGTTTTTAATGCATTTTTATTTTATGGCAAACTTAGTGATAACTGAGTTTCATAATGTAAGTACATATTTTTTTTACCATTAAAACTTTATCTAGCAATAACAACACATACAAATATACATAGAGATATATTTTCAGTTCCTTCTTTCCAAAGGTGCATTAACAGTGCTCTGTGCAAATTTTTTTATTATAATCCTTTTATTGTACTTAAAGATGTATTTTCAAAAAAACATTGTCTATGAATAACAGATTGTTGCTGCTCAATATCAAATTAGTAAAAGTTGTGTTGTTCTTGAAATAGTTTTGCAGTTCACTTTTAATACACAACTTGTCAATTTTTTAAGAACAATTTCCTTTTGTTTAGGGTCTGGAGAGCGAGATATGATAGTTATGAGGAATGAAATAGGAATTAGACATCCCTCTGGTCATTTGGAAGACAAATATATTAATCTTGTGGTGTATGGAGATGATAAAGGGTATTCTGCGATGGCCAAAACGGTGGGTTACCCTACTGCTATTGCAGCAAAGATGATTCTTGAAGGTATGTATCTTTCTTCCCCTCTTTTAATTAAGGAGTCCTTGAAAGTAATGTGATTGCTTTAGGTAATTTGTTATAAAATACCTCCTGTCTATTATACCCTTCTATTTATGTAGTAAGTTAAGCCTCAGTGCCCGGGTACTTATTTTAAAGGGCTTCAGTTACATTCAGTGAGATTTTGTTAAGATATGTTCTAACCTAGAAATATGTCTGGAGTAACTTCCCATAATGGTCCTATTCTCCTATTCCTAGTATGTTCTCCATTTTAATTTTTCTTTCACCTCTCTTTCTCTGAGTGAAAGGAAGTGAATTGTTCACTTGAAATTAACACACTCGCAGTAATTTTTCAAGAATAAATAAAGACGCAAGCCTTAACTGCAAGTAGAATGCCATTGTATTTTTTATTAAATGAGTACTTACACTTTCCTAAATGAAATTTTATATTATGCTGTTATGCCCCTCTAAAATTTGTTCAAATAATAAGTTATTTCTTATTTTGTATTTCAGGTGAAATTAACAACAAAGGTATGATCGTCCCGTTGACAAAGGATATATATGGACCAATACTCAAGCATATTCAAGCAGAAGGCATTGCCTACACAACGCAGAGTGTTATCAGGCAATAAGGAGACCTCATGTTCCTCTTAGCCACCCATCCACTGAGTTTCTAATATGCACAAATTGAAGCTTGAAAATCTGCCACAGATACCTTCAGTTGAAAAGTCGTCTGTGCTGAACCCATTGAAATGAACAGAAGAGCAGCAGCGTTTCTATTATCTTGAGAACCTCTAGCCTTTGGTTCAGGTTTTCACATGAGATTATCCTATCGAATTGGGTTTATTAAAGGCTACAGTCCCAACTAACTTATTTGGAAGCAAGTCTCAATGACTTCTAAGTAAGCTGTTCTATTTGTGTACTTATCCCAATATTTATCATAGGATGGCATGGTATTTTTCTTCAGAAATGTAGGATTTTTATACATGAGGCAAGGCTCTTAAAAGGCTGTTCAAAGGTATTTTTCATTGTTTCATAAAGGCTGCAAAATTGCTGCATATGGTGAATGTTAAGACTATTTTCTAGTACAGTATTTAAAATGAATTTTTGAAACATTCTAAATTTAGAATGATTTGCTCTTTATTAGAAATGAAGAAGTTTATGATCTAAGTGCCCAAAGTATTGGTTTTCAAAAGCTCCTACTTCACCCAGATACGGTTATGTTAAGTTTTGTTATATCATTGGTCTTTTAAGAATGTATAAGGGGTAATTCATTTTTCCATGAGCCATTTTTGTAATCACTTTGTGATTTGATCCATATGCTTGATGAGTATCTACATCGATTCCTTGAATGATAACTATAGAGTCAAAAGTAGTTTGGCTTTCTTAAAACTTACATCATATTGTTGAGCTAGCTCAGTCTAGGTGTTTCCAGTTAAAGGCTACAGTTAACAGAATTGGAAAAGATCTGTTACTGGAACTTTGAAGACCTTCTCCTAAAAAGATGTTAATGTGCAATAGACCAGCCTTTCCTAACTTGGTTATCCTCCAAAGGTATTGGGACTACAGCTTCCCATATTCTTAGAATGTATGAACAGTTTTTTTGAATGTCATAAAACTGATACAGCTGTAATGGAGATATGATTTTTATAGCCAAAGGGAAAACTATTTTCCAGTTGCACTTTTAATTTCTAGAAATTAATCAGTGGCATTTTTATGTATTGAGGATATGATTGTTCGAGACATTTCTATAATATATGCAGAAAATCCTATTGTGGAGGAAAAAAGATTTACTTTGCTTTACATTTGCCAATTGTTATATTCCTTGAAATTATGTTTTATATATTGGACGACTTCTAAATTCTGAAGTGCTATATAAAGTTGCCAATTAGTTTATTTATTTACATTATTTTGAAGACAGAATATTCTGCAGTGTCTTGTAAGGTCCTTACATGGTTCAATATTGGAGAGAAACAATATATTAGGTAATATCTGATACATATAAAAATCTGTTCTTGTTCTTTAATGGACTTTCAGACCAGTGTCACACAAGTACTATGAATTATCTGTTTTACGGCATAGAGAGGAAACCAGGATGTTTTCCTTAAAACCATTCTCAAATAGAGAAAGGTGTGTGTTTTTTTTTTTTTTTTTATCCCGGAGAGGAAAAAAAGAAAACAGAATTCGGAAGTACAGATGGGAAAAATGTGGAGTTTCCACTGACATCTGCAGCCAAACACTGTTGACCATTCAGATAGTTAAACTAATGCCAACATAATTTTCCCAGGAGTTTTAATTCCAAGATACAATGAGTGGTAGTTCTGGCTCCTTTCTTAGTATTTTTGGAATTGGTTAAATCTGCAAATACTAAATTTACATATAGCCCCCTGATATTTTGAGGGGGCCATATGTAAGTCAGAGCAATTTTTAATATTGTATAATCCTGTGCACATTTACTAAAGAGTAAATTCCACTGTAGCCATGAAATTTAATGTATATATACAATTGTATCAGAGCTTTAGTATCTATATGATTACAGCATTAATATCCCTAATTTCATTTTTTTGATGACTTATGTTAACAAAAGATAATTGCTATCTGAAATTGTTTATTTTTTTTTAACACAATGTCCAATGTTCTTTCTCTGCTCACTGAGAAGTAGGAAAAGTGAATACAAAATATTCACTGGAAAGTAATGGAATTGCTTCATTTACACTTAGCAAATTTTTCAGAAAAAAATTTGATGGCTGCTGGTCTGCAAACAGTTTGCCACCTAATTTCACAACAACATGCCTCAGTTTGTACAATCCCCATAACATAAAACCCCCTGTTATAAAATAAATCTGAAAAGGTTAAATCATGAAGCTGTGCTACTATGCATTTCTCCAGTGTGATGAGTGGAGAATCAACCAACAGGTTAACTTCGTCTTCTGCCCGCAGACTAGTCGTCCAATTTTGCTCCGCCTCTCCGCCTGGGACCTCCCTGATCCAGTCTCGACTAGTCTTGAGCCCGTTTAGACTGAATTCTTGACTCCTGAAGTGATTCTTCTTTAAGGTCGTATATTTCTGATATTTTGGTCAATCGGTGGGGGGGGCTACACTCAGAGAGCTCCAGTGGTTCCTACTTCTGTTCCAAAGAGTGGGGATAGGCTCCTCAAACCAAAGAGTGAAGGTGCCACCAAAGGTCTTGAGGTCGCTCCAGTGATGGTCCTCCCCAGCGATGGGGAAGGGACACTTGTTCAGGGAAGCCAACCGAGTCACCCTTACAATGGATGCCAGCCTATTCGGCTGGGGAGCGCACCTGCAATCACAGCTAGCACAGGGTCAATGGTCAAAGAAAGACCTAAAGCACAACATAAACTGGCTAGAACTCAGAACCATACACCTGGCGCTCTGTCACTTCCACAGCGCTGTGGCACATCGACACGTGCTCATACTCACAGACAACGTGGCGGCCAAAGCGCATGTCAACTGACAAGGAGGCACGCGATCCAGGGCCCTCATGAACGAAGCACAAGCGCTGGCAACCTGGGCAGAAAACAACCTAGCCTCCATCAAGGCCGAGCACATCTCAGGAGAAGCCAATCGCCAGGCAGACTTCCTGAGCGGGACAACGATAGAACACTCAGAGTGGAGCCTGCACCCTGCCCTCTTCAGAGAGGCAGCAGAGAGATTCGGCCATCCAGTGTTGGATCTGTTTGCCAGTCTAAAGAACACTCAGATTCCAAGGTTCTTCTCTCATTTTCCAACACCAGGAGCAGAGAGAGCGGATGCACTTCGAGGCCACTGGCCAAAAGGACTGCTGTATGCATTCCCACCTCTTCCTTTGATACAAGCAACCATCAGGAAGATATTGTAGGAGCAAGCGGAGGTAATACTCATTGCACCGCACTGGCCAAGACGGCCGTGGTTTGCCGATGTCGTAAACCTATCTACATCTCCACCGTGGAGGATTCCACACGACCAAATTTCCCTCAACCAGGGATCCATCCAGACCCACAGTGGCTCCAATTGACCACCTGGTGCTTGAGCGGAGTCTCCTAGAGAGAGACAACTTTTCACAAAGAGTCATTAAGACTCTCCAGGCCTCTAGAAGGCCTACAACTAACAGGATCTATGATTCCACTTGGAAAAATTATTCCAGTTGGTGCAACAGGCAACAACTAGACCCATGCAACATCTGTATCCCAGATATCTTGGACTACCTAGAGGAAGGCCTGGATAGGGGGCTAGCACCCAACACAATTCATAGACAGGTGGCTGCCCTATCAACCATTCTTACCTACGGCAACTCTGAAACTTTAGCCAGACACCCAATGGTACGATCCTTTGTAAAGGGCGCATCTAACAGCAGGCCACCTGTGGTGCACAGATACCCTTCCTGGGATCTACCTAAGGTCCTACAGGCCATAACCTTACCTCCATTTGAGCCTGCCAGGACCTGTGACCTACAGTACCTGACCCTTAAGGTCGCCTTCTTAGTCGCTGTTACCTCAGCAAGACGCATCTCAGAACTAGCAGCCCTGTCAGTGAGGGAGGACCTTTGTACCTTCCACACGGACAGGATGGTGTTACGTTTGGACCCCTCCTTCATTCCAAAGTTCAATTCCCTATTCCACAGAGCACAGGAGGTGGTGCTACCAAACTTTTGCTTTGAACCGTCCTATGAACTGGAGTGCAAGTGGCACATCTTAGATGCTCGCAGAGTTTTAAAGCAGTACATCAAGCGAACGGCACCCTTCCATAGATCGGAAGCACTGTTTGTCTCCTTCCATTCTCACACAAGAGGTCGGAGGGTCACTGCATCCACAATCGGTAGATGGATTAAAAGGTGTATAGTGGAGGCATACAGGGGACAGTCCTTGACTGTCCCCAGACGAATCACTGCACATTCCATGTGCAGTGCTGCAACCTCAGCAGCATGGGCAACTCAGGCTTCGATTGAAGAAATATGTAGAGCGGTGATGTGGATGTCGCCTTCCCCTTTTATAAAACACTATAAATTAGACAGATTCGCATCTGCAGAGGCCTCCTTTGGCAGGAGAGTACTCCAGTGCATAGTATCAGACGGCATCCCACCCACAAGGACAGTGAGGCTTTGGTATGTCCCATTGGTGGATTCTCCACTCGTCACACTGGAGAAGGGGCGTTTGGTCTTACCTGAACGCCTTTTCTCGCATGACGATGGAGAATCCACTCCCACCCTTGAGACTAGTCAGGTCCTGTGAGGGGAGAGGATGGAATCAACGCAAGAAAACATAGCCAACTAGCTTTCGCCTCATTGAGACTGGGTCAGGGAGGTCCCAGGAGGAGAGGCGGAGCAAAATTGGACGACTAGTTTGCAGGCAGAAGATGAAGTTAACCCGTTGGTAGATTCTTCATTGTCACGCTGAGAAAAGGCGTTCAGGTAAGACCAACACCCCTTCTATGGCTCATGCAGCAGAGCTGCTTAACTCATTCTTTGCATCAGTCTTCACACAAAAAGAAACTATAGACCAATCTACCAAAACATAAGTGTAAAAGATGGACTAGAAATAAAAATTAAAATAAGAAAATGGTAAGAGAATACCTGTCTGACCTCGATATATATAAATCATCAGGACCTGATGGATTACATCCCAGAGTTCTTAAGAAACTGGCGTATCTCAGAACCATTGTATCATATATTTAAAAAATCTTGGAGCACTGGGATTGGAAAAAGAGCTGATGTGGTTCCCATCTTCAAAAAAAGGGGAAAAAAACAGACCCAGGAAACTACAGACCAATCAGTTTAACATCAATACCTGGGAAGATACTGGAAAAAATAATCAAAATACAGATCTGTGAACATCTAGAAACAAATAACTAGTAGCCAGCACAGGTTTGTTAAAAACAGATCATGTGAAACCATCTTATTTCATTCTTTGACAAAGTGACTAAATTACGAGACCTGCAAAATGCTGTGGACGTAGTACATTTAGATTTCAGCAAGGCATTTGACAAAGTAGACCACAACCTACTTTATGGTAAGCTAGAAAAATATGTGATAGACAACATCACCACCAGATGGATTTGTAACTGGCTGACAAACTGTACTCAACAAGTAGTCCTTAATGGTAGTACATCAACATGGAGGGAAGTAAGCAATGGGGTACCACAAGGTTCCGCCTTAGGCCCAGTACTCTTCAATATCTTCATAAATGACTTAGATAAGGGAATAGAAGGAAATCTCATCTAATTTGCAAATGACACCAAGCTGGAAGGAAGAGCCAACACCCCAGAAGACAAACTCAGAATCCAAAAAGATTTTGACAGGCTTGAACAATGGGCCTTATCCAACAAAATTATATTTAATGTGGAAAAAAGCAAGGTTTTACACTTCGGCAGGAAAAACCAAAGGTACAAGTACAGATTAGGCAAATCCTGGCTCAAAAACAGTAACTGTGAGAGGTACTTTGGAGTCCTAGTGGACAATCACTTAAACATGAGTCAGCAGTGTGCAGCAGCAGCCAAAAAAGCGAATACAATCCTTGGTTGTATAAACAGAGGCATAGAATTAAAATCATGTGAAATATTAGTATCGCTTTATAAAGCCTTAGTAAGGCCACATCTGGAATACTGCATCTAGTAGTATGTTGAGACTTTGGAAAAAGTGCAAAGAAGAGCAGTTAAGATGATTAAAGGCGTGGAGACTAAAACATATGAAGATTGGTTGCAGGATTTGGGAATGGCCAGTCTAGAGAAAAGAAGGACTAGGGGGGACATGATAGCAATATTCCAATATTTGAGAGGCTGCCACAAGGAGGAGGGAGTTAATTTATTTTCCAAAGCACACAGGGCAAGACAAGAAACAATGGTTGGAAATTGATCAAAGAGAGAAGCAACCTGGAATTAAGGAGAAACTTCCTAACAGTGAGGAGAATTAACCAGTGGAACAGCTTGCCCTCAGACATTGTGGGTGCTTCATCAGTTGAGATCTTAAAGATGAGATTGGAGAGCCACTTGTCTGAAATGATATAGGGTCTCCTACTTGAGCAGGGGGCTGGA